CCTGAACCCTGAATTCCGGCCTTGGAGGTCATGCCCCAGGAGGCGCTATCTTCCTTTGACTTTGCTTGCGGTGCAGGCTCTAAGGTTTAGGGCTTAGGATGGAGGGGTCAGGGGTCATAGGGTATTGGGTTTAAGATTTAGGGCTTAGGGTTTAGGGGATTAGGGTTGAGGGCTAAAGGTTTAAAGTGTGGGAGCTCTGGGGGAGTGGAAAATTCCTGCTCGGGCATGCACTTTGATTGCTGAACCAGGTTTGTGTCTCTTGGAAGGACTCGCTTTCGAACAATTCTAAGACACAACCGCCGGAAATTAACAACAACAACAACAACAAAGGTGCCTACGAAACACAGAAGCATCGCCTGCAGATATTCCTTGACGCCCCTTCCAGCATCAACCAACATGCACCGAGATAAGGAACAACGTAACAATAAAGGGCAAACAAGAAGCCAAGCACGACAGATGAATCAAAGGCAGGATATACTGATGTAGAGGTTGGGGTCTATGAGAATGTTACACCCTCATCTGCGAAAGCTGATCCAAGTTTGAACCCTCTTCCCGGATTCATCCCAGACCCTCCTCACCAGGCAGAGGGGCTCGCTGCCCTCATCGCCTCCCACCATATGTATCGCAGACACTGGAGCGCAGGGTTCACGGACTTCTTGTAGCCACTGTTTCGAGTTAGACTTGGGGTCTGGGGCCGGAGGTGGAATGATCGAGGCTTTGCCATTATCCCCATCTGAACCAAGAAGTGCTGCAGAGAGTCGCACTTTACCCACTGGACCCGAGACCATTGCTTGTGGCTATACGCACCGCGCTGCACAAGCACTCCTGTGCTTGTTGCTGGGACCGTAACTGAATGAACACAACAGCACAAAGTCAACTGAAAACATCCGCTTCTTTGACTCTTTGCCTGGCGAGCTTACCTCGAACTGAAAAGCAAGCTTGCTGGCAGCACGAGCTCTTACACGCGACTCGCGAGCATCGTCTGCCTGTTTCCCAACAAAAAACCGAATTCAATTGCCCTACTGTTTCAAGAAGCTTGAGACCGAAGGCTTTACAACCCAACCAAGGCCAATGGATTGTGAACAAGTCCCTAAACCCTGAACCCTAACTGAGTCAGCCGTTTCGCCATGGCCTGGGCAGGATTCGCGAGGCCCAACGTTCGAGCGAGCTTGCCGCATTGGAGGCTCGGGGTAGGGTTTAGGGTTTAGGGCTGATGGGTTAGGGTTTTACGGTTGAAAGACCAGCAGGAACCGAGCGCAGCCGGATTTGAACCAACTAGGCACACCGTCTTCGTCGTGCACCTCTCTCTGACTAAGGATTCGCTGTACCACTTTCTCATGTTGGGCAATCTAGTGTTGGTTGCCGAAGTCCTTTGCTCTGAGATGCTGGAGGAAGTGCTGTCCAGATCGGTGTAGTACACTGGCTCATGGAATTAAGTCAGCTGCCAGTGACACATGACGTGTTCCTCTCCTCTGCCTTCCTTTTAAAAAGCTCGATCTTGCTGTGCATCCCGGATCTTGTACTGAGCTATGCTGAAGTGTTCGAGAACCCCATCAGACTGCAAAGCCCGGCAGTTCGTCTCTGGCATAGAAGCGGGTGTTCGAAGCAAGGCTCGAAGATGCTACCGTGCTGTTGGATTTGAGAATTCCACAGAAGGCTTTCAACCGCCGAACCCACAAGATTTCGCCCTCATTCAAGCACCACACCCTAAACCCTAGGTCCTAAACCCCAAACCCCTAAACCCCTACAACAGCTCCCTCTCCCGATGCTTCGGGACTGGGAATGTTGCTGGGCCCGCGGCCAGGTTCGGGTGCTTCTCCTGCGCCGGCCCTAGGGTTCAGGGTTTAGATTTTCAAATTTTCTGGCAGAGTGCAGCATCGTGTTTCTTCGGCTCCCGGGAAGCAGAAGGCAACATAGGAAGGATCCCTTGGGGTCTGAGGCCCTGCAATCTGGAGATGAGGTCCAAGCCCCGAAACCTTAAACCCTAAACCCATCTTCCCACCAGTCGTTACACGGGCCGATAAGGGTTGCTTTCAAGGTTCTTGTTTTTGTAGGGGAAGTTCCTTTATGGGTTCCTTGAAGGGTTGTTTAGGGGTCCCAATAAGGGTTGTAGAAGGTTGATCGGATTTGTGCGATTTTTCGTTTGGGCTGGTGTTGGCATTGCGCTTGTGGGTGGTGGATGAGGAAGCGACATTTGGAAAAGCAGGCTGCAGCGGGCAGCGGCTTGCGAAAAGGGGTCCGTGGGCGACAAGCCTCAACACGTCCGAAAATAGGGGCCTTTAATACGGCACCCTAAATAGTAGGATCCTTACTATAAGGACCCCTAAATATGGTACCCCCCCCCCCCATTTAGAGGGCTGCAAGGCGCCTCCAATATACCGACAGGATCCGGCCATTGCGCATCTGGAAAGGAATTGGGATGTGGAGACTGCCCATGAACGGGATGCACAGGAAACAAGCTTAAACCCAGTTTGCTCAAACTAATTAAGGTGGCTGCCGCGAGAAAACCTAAGTCGTCCAATGCCCATAAATCCTACACCCTAAACTTCTCGGGGCCGCGGCCGTGTTCGCACCGGTGGCCGCGAGGGGGCGCAATCAATTGTTGGCCGTCCTTCTCTCGCTGCCGAAAGCAGTGGCATTTGGCCTGGACGCGAACACTTATAAACTTACAGACAGTGTAATTAAGTGTGATGTGGTATGACATGAAACTGCACTACATGCTCCCTGAACCCCGAACCCCATCTGCTGTCCAGAGCCCCTAAACCCTAAGCCCTAAACCCTAAACCCTGACACCAACTCTGGATGGACAGTGGGTGGAGCCATTGGAGAGTGGTCGAGGGCTGAGCCATGCCATTCGGCCCCTTGGCGCCCTTTTTCGCAGATCGGGTCTATCGAATCTCAAGATGGCCCCCTGGCCCCCCCGCTGGCCCCCCCTGGCCCCCTGCCCTGCGCCCCGGCCGTTGTGGCCTCCCTGCCCTGGTCCCCGCCTTCCTGGCCCTCCTGGCTTGCTTTGCCGGCAAGCGAGCTGCACCCATAGACAAACCATATCAGAGGTGGGAATTGAGGCCGTAAGCAATGTGTACTGTTTGGTGGTAGAATGCGACTCTGGACGTAGATATGTCGCCCCCCCACACCCCTGGAGTGTTGGGGCGCCATCCTACATGGAAAATACTGCCGCTGCGCGGGGAGACGCCCTGAGCCCTAAACTTTAAACCCTAAACCCTAAGCCCTAAACCCCAAACCCTAAGCCCTAAACCCTAAGCCCTCAACCTTGAACCCTAAACCCTAAACATGAAGCCTGGATTGTGCAACCTTCCCCCTAACTCTTTCCAGCTGCGGCCGAGGAGAGCGGATGACGTTTGGTGTACTCCCCAGAGAGCCCAATACCCCTTAATTCAGGAATATACCTTAAACTAGAAGGTGGTTCACATCATGATTGAAGCCATGCTCCTTAATTAAGGGGTGTTGGGCTTTCTTGGTCACTTGGCCTAATTTTTTCTATCAATACGAGGAACTAGTTACTAGTTCATGGGCGTGAAAGCTCAGAGCACGGGACTTGTCAAGGCTGCACAACGTGGACTTCGACGAACCCTCGGCCTGTGCAGAGTCATCTAAAAATACTGTAAGACGATCATTCTAGAATACTCGATGATCTGGTATATCATAATGGCAGAGTGGCCTTGGGCTTTCCATTCGGCGGTTCAGCTCAGCTGAGCGTCCGGCGACAGTATTTGCAGTCAAGACCGTGAGGAACTGAAACTGCGAAGGAGGGCCTCGAAAGAAAAGATGCGAGGCCCCTGTGACTGTGCAAGCTGAGGAGGCAGACATCGAACTGAGAGCATGTGTTACTCGTAGCTTCCATGTTGCCTACAGATGTCTTGCTATTACAGGATAAGCATGGGCTGATAATGTTGCATGCGGCAGGGCACGTGGCGACACTTGCCGCTTTGGTTACGATCCGCGTAACCTCATAGCTGCACGGACCAGGTTGGGTGCAAGGTGTTGAGTTGCGCTTGATGCCTGGATCTAGGTTCTTGTCAACGGTAGCATTGAGCTTCGGTTGCTGAAAGGCGTACCCGCTAGACAGGTAAGATGGGCTGGAGCGGCCAGCTTATGGCTTACAGGCTCCGGATCTACAACTCCAGCTCCGATGGTGAAGGCTTCCACTTGCAAGCACTTTCTGGGAGCTTCAGCTGAGCTCTGCAGTGACACACAATGCACGTCGTTCAGACTTTGCTGGCGTAGGCAGAGCCAAAGAAATGCTGGTGCTGTTGACTTGCGCATGGACATAGACTTGATTACAATGACAACTGAAACAGCAACCGCCTTCGAATTGGTCCAACGAGCGGAGCCGCTGCACTTTGAAAGACGAACCGTCTCGGGGGGTGCTCCTTTGCGCACCGCCTGCTTGATGTTTAGTGCAAAGGGGGCCGAAGCCTTGCAAAAGAGTGAGCCCAGCCACAAGGGTTCTCTAGGCAGCCACCCCTGGCGGAAAGAAACAGGAATGTGGTGTGTCCTTCACCGTTGCTCAGACACATAAGGAACATGGCAGGAGCCGTGCGCCCGAGGTAATGTGGGACAGTGCAACGGTTAGCTCTAAACTCTAGGTGAGCTTGCATGGCACGGAAGGACAGAGAGGGTTCTGAGAAAGGCGGCAGCCACCCTCGAAAGTCAATCCGCTTGCAAGCACTTTCTGGGAGCTTCAGCTGAGCTCTGCAGTGACACACAATGCACGTCGTTCAGACTTTGCTGGCGTAGGCAGAGCCAAAGAAATGCTGGTGCTGTTGACTTGCGCATGGACATAGACTTGATTACAATGACAACTGAAACAGCAACCGCCTTCGAATTGGTCCAACGAGCGGAGCCGCTGCACTTTGAAAGACGAACCGTCTCGGGGGGTGCTCCTTTGCGCACCGCCTGCTTGATGTTTAGTGCAAAGGGGGCCGAAGCCTTGCATGACGGCCCCGGGAAACGTCCAACACTCGCTTGAGGAGCCTGTGCTATACCTGAGCCTGCTCTTTTGAAGGTCTCTCTAGTCGCTTGCGCTGGCAAAGCTTCAGAAGGTGTTGTGCCAAGGCAGGGCGCAACGCGGTGCTGTCCTCGAGGGGTAGGGCAGAGCCATCCCACGCCCAAAGAGAGACGTAGGGACAGCATTTAGATTGCGTTGGAAATCGAAATGGATGCTGCGTAGACCCGAAACCCTACTATGCGATGTTCCAAGTTTGGACTCAGAGTGTGCAAAGACTCCTTGGACTTAGAGTCCAGATCCACCCCATCAAATTTTCTTTGCCGGGTTGAAAGAGTCCCGGAAGTCATGGGGATGAGGGTTTAGGGATTTAGGGTTGAGGGTTTAGGGTTTACGGGGTTTACGGGTTTAGGGTTTTGGGACCCAATGGGAAGAGGGGGGACAGGTACTCACAAGTTTCTAAAGCCGATGGATGGTGGCAGCTCTCGTTGTCCCTACCTGAACCCACCAGAATCGACTTTGTTGTAGGGTCCCATTAAATCCCATGTCAGGGTTTATAATAAGAAGCTACAAAAATAGGTTTTGGTAGGTTAAGGTACTGTTTCATTCAAGGCTTTTTCTGCTCCGTACTCTCATGCCCTAGAGGCTGACGATCATCACTGCAAGATGGTCTCCCGATACAGGATTAGAACGGATTTTGAGATGGTGTCTTAAAGAGTGTGCACTATGTCAGGGATATACGAGATTCGTACTTGCACATCGTTCAGGCTCCTGCATAGCCTCTGCAGCTCGTTCGATGGTCTGCGTCACAACGTCAACATCTTCTGGGTATGCACCCTCGTCCAAGAAGCTCATGTGCAGCATGCGGAGTTCTTGCAATACAGTAAGCAGCTGATTTGCGGTTTGACCTGAAAGGCCCTCGTCCAAAGTTTGGTCCAGCACTTCGGTCGCCAGGGTATCCAGCAGCGCTAGGGACGCAGGCCCATGAGTCACATTGCCTGGCACGAAAAAACAAAAGAAGTGCACATGCCCTCGCACAGAGAAGATCCCATGCCAGCTACAATTCTCAAGCTAGATCCTACCCAGTGACGCCGCCTTCCCTGCTAGCTGGTTTTTGCGCACTTCCATGAACATCCCGCATAATCCTCATGATCGCTTTTAATACGTATGAGTCACAGTATACTTTGAAAGAAATGAACAGTATCCAACAACAACCCCAAATGCCCTTCAATCCTTTGTGGGCAAGTGCCCTTGTCTGGCCTGTGCAGTGATCCGCTTGCAGCCACTTCTCTTCGGCAGTTTTGGCGTCCGCAGCAGTGAGCTTCAGCAAGGCGTTGCTATCTACGAGCTTGGAAACCAAGAGACCTCAGGGAGACTGCACTGAAACTCACAAGCGTTGTTTGCCATGGGAGATATAACGGGGTCCAGGGGGTTTTTTGGTAATTTTTTATGGCTTTAGGTGGGTATTTTTTATGGTTTTGTGGGCCTGGATTGTAGAAAACCCTGTAAGGGTCACACGGAGGGGCCTGATTTTGGATTTTGTTGGTTATTTTTTTTGGTTCTCTGGGCCTGGATGGTCGAGAACTTGCACCGTGTATGATGGATCTGGAACACTCGAAACTTTGAAGAAGAAACATGTGATTGACGCAATTCCTTCTTGACAAAAAGTTATGTGATTGCCGGAATTCTTCTTGACGGCAAGCCATGCACGGCATAAAAAGAAAGCGGGCGGTTGGGGGGGCAGCCCCCCGGCCAGTTGCAAACCCAATGTACGTATGCATCACGTTCATATGGACTCTGTTTTTGCTGGCAAACTGATGTTTGAAGCCAGCTCTGGCGGTTTGACGAAGCGGGCACCCCCCCCCTCTTTGCCTATGATGGATCCGGAACACTTGAAAATTTCAAGAAGAATTATAAAACGGGCCCCCACGGTTCACAAATGCAATGCAAAAGAGGACCGGCGATGCATCGCATCTTCAGCACACGCCCTCATTTGGCGATTGTGGTACACCATAGATATGACTATACCACATATCTTGGAGACGCCCCGGTATTTGGTAATTCCGGCTTACCATACATATACCTTTAACACGCCCCCTCGTGCGGCGATAACCGTCCACCATATGTCTGAAACATGCCCCCTCTTCTGGTGATAGTTGTTCATCATATATCCTGAACGCGCCAATTATTCGGGGATAACCTTTCACCATATATGTTAAAAACACGCCCCCTCTTTTGGTGATAACCGCTCATCATGTGTGTGTGTGTATGTGTATATATATATATATATATATATATATATACCTCTCTCTTTAACGCGACCCCTCTTTTGGTCATTACAGCTCATATCAGCTCATCATGTATCTTAAACACGCCCCCTGATTCGGCGATTCCGGTTCATCATATATCTTAAACACGCCCCCTCGTTTGGCGATTCCGGATTCCGGTTGAACAAGCCCCTCATCTGGCGATTCCGGATCACCATATATCATATATCATATATCACATATTTATATTTATATATATATATATCTGTATACATACATATATGAAGCACGGCCCCCCCCCCACCCCCTTGTTTGGTAATTTCAGTTCACCATATAGCTATTTAAGACCCTCTCATTCGGCGAAAACCATTCACCGCGGCCCAAACATAAAGCAGGAGGGGGTTGGGCCCCTAGGACGGGCTGTGAAACGTCTCATATATGTTACGCGCTTGACTTGCTACGACCACTCGCCAATGGCCAGAAAGCGTTCTTGATGGTACGACGTTCGCTAAAGCAAGTTCACTACGGGGCTGAAGAAAGCGGGGGGGGTTGGGGGGGCGCGCACAGCCCCCCATTTGCAAACGCACTTGCAAGAGGTAAGCACCCTCCCTTATTTGGCAATTCCGTGTTAGCCTATAGCTTACACACGCCACCCTCACTTGGCGATAACGGTTCAACATACATGATAAACACGCCCCCTCATTTGGCGCATTTGGCGATAACGGTTCATGATACGTGTTAAACAAGCCCGCTCATTTGGCGATTCCGGTTCACCATATATATATATATATATATATATATATATATATATATATCTCTGAAGCCCACCCCGGCCCACCCCTTATTTGGCAATTTCGCTTCACCATAAACGTCTTCAACACTCCCTCATTCGGCGCCCCCCATTTGCAAACGCACTTGCAAGAGGTAAGCAACCCCCCTAATTTGGTAATTCCGGGTCAGCCTATAGCTTAAACTCAGTTGGCGATAACGGTTCAACATACATTATAAACACGCCCCCTCATTTGGCGATAACGGTTCATGATACGTGTTAAACAAGCCCGCTCATTTGGCGATTCCGGTTCACCATATATATATATATATATATATATATCTCTGAAGCCCACCCCGGCCCACCCCTTATTTGGCAATTTCGCTTCACCATATACGTCTTTAACACTCCCTCATTCGGCGAAAACCGTTTACCATATATATTAGCTTGCACGGCCCAAACATAAAGCGAGGGGGGTTGGGCCCCTGGGACGGGGTTTGAAAAGTCTCAGAATAGTTATGCGCTTGACTTGCTGCGACCATCGCAAATGGCCCAATAGCGTTCTTGATGGAATGGCCCAATACCGTTCTTGATGGTACGAAGCTCGCTAAAGAAAAACAGGGCTTACTAAAGCCGGGGCGGCGGGGGGGGGGGGGGGGGACAGCCTTTGCAAACGCACTTGCAAGAAAACCGGCTTCATCACATCTTAAGCACGTGCCCTCATTTGTCGATTCCGGTTCACCATAGATTATATGCAAAAAACCTTAGACACACCACTTTCCGGTTCACCATATATCTTTAACACACCCCCTCATTCGGCAATGACCGTTTGCCATATATCCCCTCATTCGGCGTCACCAGATATCTTTAACATGCGTCCGCATTCGGCGATAACCGTTCGCCAAATATCTTGAACACGCCCCTTCTTTTGGTGATTCCGTTTCAACATATATCTTTAACACGCCCCCTCTTTTGGTGATAACAGCTCATCAACTATCTTAACACGCCCCCTGATTCGGCGGTTCCGGTTCATCATATATCTTAAACACGCCCCCTCTTTTTGGCGATTCCGCATCTCCGGTACCCCATGCTTACTGGTTTGCAAGTGCAACGCCAGATCAACAGCCCGACTGACTAGAGGATTGACGGACTGACAGACTGATTGACAGACAGCCAGACTGATTGACGGCTCGGTTGGCAGACAGACTGACTGGCTGACCGACTCACCACTGCCGCTGGACGACCGACTGACTGACTGACTGACTGACCGCTGCCGCTGGACGACCGACTGACTGACTGACTGACTGACCCCGCGGTTGGCTGACCGACTAACTGACTGACTGGCTGTCTGGCTGACTGACTGACTGACTGACTGACTCGCGTGCCCACCGAACCGAAAACCATGGAAAATATACAAAAAAAACATAAAAAAATACCCAAAAAGAACCCCCAACCGATAAGAAAACGACAGGACATGTCGGTTTTCACTTGTCGGTGTTTGGGCATTTTGGCATGTCGGCGCGTGTGTGTGTTGGCATGTCGGCGCACATTCTGGCATGTCGGCAGCAGCGTGTTTCTGAGATATGGCAGGGTTTTTGGGCACATCGGTTCCTGTTCAACTCTGAATGGTCAACCTTTCCTTCCTCTTCAAACCTCAAAAGAACTATCAATCTCTTTTGCTTACCAAGGTCTGAATATCTCGGAGCATGGCTGCTCCATGTCGGCGGAAGCTCGCTTTCGCATGTCGGCGGAATCTGATCTTGTCATGTCGGCGGCAAAACGTTTCTTTTTGACATGTCGCCGAAACTTTATTTGTCATGTCGGCAGCACGTGATGATTGCAAGCCTTTAGGAATCTGTGGGTCGCAGGGTTCTGCACTTAAAGAAGCAACAAACACAAAAGGTCAGCAGTTGCGAGAGTTGCGAAAGTCAAAATAAAAGGCCAGGAGTTGCGCAAACAGCTATGTCAAGCACTGGAGCGAGACAAGTGAAACACAAGACAGAGGGGAAGAAACACTGGCCAAGGCTTGTTGAGCATGACATGGGGTCGAGGCTGCTGTCGGGATCGTTGTTGCGATGAAAACCTGGTCAACATGTGCCGTAGGTGCCGTTCGTCTGCATGGGCCCCACCCTAAACCAAACACTCGGGTTGGCAAAGCCTGTTACGATTCGACGGGCTGTATATAAGGGTTATACATGGGTCCGATCATAGGGCTTATCAAAGGGGATAGAAGGAGTTCAGACAAAGGCTCACATACACTGTGGTCCAAGTGGACTGTCTGCAGGATACCTAACATGTTTCAACTTGTCCATTACTGCCCTGCTAGAAATTCAAACCTTCCTAGATATTAATACTAGAGAAAGCATGCAAAGAGCTACCGCAATCGAGAAAGGTGTTCCCTAAACCCTAAACCCAAATCGTTGCAATTTCCCTGACCTGCCAGGGGCACTGCCGTGGACCAAGCCTCTTTCAGAGCCTTGGAGTAGCCGATCTCTCCCTGAAGGAACTCCTCGCTGCGTACGGAACTCTGTGTTGCAGGGAGTACTTGGAGGATCATGGGACTGAGTAAGTAAGGTTATAAATACCTTAATTGGGGATATTAAGTCCCATGATCCTTTAAGTATAGCTTCAGGGCTTAAGGTTTAGAGGTTTAGGGAGTTTAGGGGTTAGAGTTCAGGTTAGGGCTCAAGGTAGGATTTCGAGGGATCCGACCACTAGGCTCATGGAAAGGGATATACGGAGAAGGATTACGTGAGATCTTTCCTGATGCACATAAAACACTTGTGTTACCCATCCTCCTACGGGTGAGGGTTTTGGGTTCCAGTATGAGGATGATGAGATGTGTCGGACTCCCTACCTAGAGTCCTCGTAGTATTTCTGCATCTCGCCGAAACGAGCGGAGCAGGAAACATACTCCTCAAGCGTCGTCGCGGCCCGCAAATAAGCTGATGCATAGTGTTTAGCTTGATTCAAGTACTTGTCCAGTGCTGCCCTGAACTCCCACCAGGTGCTGTCCAACGCCAAAAGCACTTGCCAAACGTCATTCTGGGAGGTTTGGCTGGTTTCCAAAAACGCAAATACTTCGGTGGCGCTCTTCTTCCTTGCGGTCTGTAGCAGCTGCTTCTGCCCCTGCTTCCACTGCGACGAACGGTGGTGGTAGATACCGAGGAGGTGGTTCCGGGAACGCGCCAAATCTTGCATGTGAATGGCAGCTTTGGCTGTGACTGCGCTGATGGCCTCAGTTTTTTTAACCCTTTGCTTGCCTGAGAGCTCCAGAGCCCGATGCAGAGCTTCCGTCCTGCTGAGCAAATACTCCGCTTTGTCAGAAGCCGTGCTGTTCGCAAGCGGGGTACGCATCTCGGAGCGCAGGTCTGCTATGAATCCTTCAAGTGCTCGCCTAGATGCAGCATGTCCAATGCTGTCCATGTCCGCCCCTACGACGAGGTCACGGACCCTCGCCAGGCGTAAGTTGAGCATGCCTCGCATTTGCTGAATGTCGAACGTTGACTTCGATGTGGTCGTGATTTCATCGATACGCTTGGAGAGCCTGTCGAGCTTCTCGCCAGTGATGCTCGCGTGATACGCTGTGAGGGCATCTACGTTGTGATTCAGCACTTGCACAGCACCTTCCAAGCTGTTCAAAACCGCAGCGTTGCCTTTCACAACTGCGTCTTTAACGCAGTGGAGATCGCACCACACCCTGGAAAACGCTGCCTTCTGGCCGCTACAATCATCCTTGGCCTTCTCATCAAGAACAACTTTGGCAATGAGCGGTGCAACACTAAAACTGTTTTGCACGGTTCGGCCAATTGCATCCAGGGTTTCCTTGCAAACGTCTCCGGTCGGCCAAGTGAATCCAAACCCGAAGGGAGCTTGATTGATTGCTCCAAGCCAGGAGCACTTCACTTTCAACCATTGCCCCGTGGTACGTGCAACGAAACCAGCCATTCCAAACGACTTTTCCAGGATTGCAAAGTCTTTGTTCCTTTTGCTTTGCCGCGAAAAACCTGACTTTTGCGATGGAGCTTCATGTCATGTGAAACCCAGTTCTTTACTGTATGCCCATGTTCTGGCAACCGGACTTTACGTTCCTCAACAAGAACCGAGAAACAGCCAAGGATTTTTTCGTAGCTGAAGCCAGAGTCCGGCTTTCCGCCGCCTGCTGCCTTGGTGTTCCAACTGAAAGAGGAGGATGCTTATATGGGAATTTTCAAAACATTTACGGTATAATCCTTAAGTTAAACCTGAAACCCTTGCAAGCTGACTGGGTTGTTGTGCTTTCAACGCGAGTGACTGTCAGCACCTCTGGGTCGAGCAAAACGGACCAGGTCGTGTGCTGAGCTTAGTGTGCCACGATCCCCTTGCATGGTAGCGGAGCTATTTCAGATCACAGCAGCTGGATGCTCCAAGGTCTGAAATTGAGATTCTCAAAAGCCATCCGGTGTTGAGGTTTTTCGAAGATGGGAAAGATGGCTTCCCTATCTTGACGGGGCACCAAAGAGCTTCGTTGGTTACCAACGAGCAGCCCTGGTGTATGCCGAGACCGTGGAGTGGAAGAAGTGGTCCTTGGTGGGACCCTGCCTCCATGGCCCCAGATTGGATATCTAACGAGCAAGGTGCCTCACAGCTCCTCCAATACCTGAAGAAACAAGTGAGAACTCCTCCAACCTTGGCCGAAGGTGGACGGACGATGTCCCGTTTCTTCTACGGCATCAAGCGCCGGAGAGGAGAGGGCATGACTGCCTGGATAGTGCGGCACGATGACTTCGGCAGAGCCATTCATGAGTATGGATGGACCCCGTGCATCAAGGTTCTGCTGAGCCAATCCGAGTGCCTGAGTTCAGTCTCCGAAAGTCTTGTGGGCCGTTCGCGACATCAGAATTTGACGGCAGCAGTGACCAATCATGAACAGATTCAACTCCGAAGTGTGTTGGGAGCATGGCATGCTCTACAAGTTGCCCCTCAATGGTGTGCCTGGGTATGCTCCTGTCTCGAATCTCGAAAGGAAATCAGCTCTTCGAATATCTGCGTAGGGACGGTCAATGGAGAATCGTGTCTGATCCTGAGTTGCCGTCTGGCCGGAAGAGAGAACAAAGGGGCTTGCATTCTCTTGATCATGCCGTGGCTGGATGGACCTTCGAACGTCTGCGAAGTTGATGATTTGGGGGGCGTGCAAGCTGAATGGCTGGTTGTGCTTCCAACGGAACTTCCAACGCGAGTGATGGTCAGCATTTTTGGGTCGAGGAAAAACGATCAGCTTGCAAGCCAAAAACCTAGACCGGGGAGGTTGCGGATTCCTTCACAGTCTCATACATCCTAGTGTCCCCGACGGTACCCTGATGGTCTTATATCCATATGAGGGAACTTGATGGACAGCCTAGCTTCTAACGTCTCTTCCCGCCAACTTGCAAAGCCTGTTTCATCTGGATCAACATCCTGACCTGGCAGTGTCCCAAAATACTGGATTCTTGTTACTCAATATGGAATCAACATTATTTACAATAGATCCCTATTGTGGTAACTTAAACTAACTTCCTGAACAGGACCTCAGAATAGCACTACATATAGGGATCACGAGGGTACTGCAGGGCGCCCGTTTCAGGAATTCCTCAATAGCTATTTAGAGAAAGCGCCGCCTTTGGCTGGATCCGTGCCCACAACGTACTTGCAAGGGTTTTCCTTTGGCAAGTCTTGGCCAATCAACTCCCAATCCGGCACCAAGCTCTTGCATTCCTGGGCTGCTTTTTTTTAGCTCCTTTTCTACAGTTGCCCCGAAAGGTCTGAGAGGCCAGGACGGGTTTAGGGCTTCGGGTTTAGGGCTTGGGGTTTGTAGTTTGGGGTTTGGGGCTCGGGGGTTTAGGGGTCTGGGGCATCTTCCCGAGCTGGCCCTTGCTTCTCTTATATCCGCAGAACTCGAGGAAATGTCCGGAAAGGATTCCGCAGAAAAAACGGCTCTTGTTAAGGAAGTTAACTTAAGTTACCATAATCGGGATCTATGGTAAATGAAAAACTGGTTTCACCATTGTGTAACAAGATTCCTTGGCATACTCCGGCTTGCTGGCAGTAAGAGTAACCAAAGCTGGCTTTGACCGCGGAATCTTTGCAGCTGGACTCGTCATTGCACCAGCTGGGTTGAAGTTGCCGTCAAAATCTGTCACAGCCACCACTGCCCACTCAGGGCCCTTCAAAGCACCATCGTCCAGCGGCTGCACCACATAGCTGCGGACACACATTCTAGGGATGGAAAGGCACCACTCACCAGTGGAGGCATTGAAATACAACGACAAGGAATCTCGTGAATCGGCAAAGCCTGGAGTCAGACTGGCTGAGACTGCCAAGAGCAAAGGCCATCGCATGTTTTTCCGGTTCTTCAACAGGCCCGGGCAGCCAAAGAATCCTCAACAAAGACCGAGAAGCTAAGTTTCCGAGTGTAGTGAAGCCGTCCGGTTCGGTCCCGGTCCCTGGGGCAGTAGAGCCCGTCCTGGCGCGTTGTTGAGGCACTATGACGAAAATGGCCATGTTTAAGCCATCTCAGGTTCCAGGATACATAAGTGTGCTTAAAGGATCATGGGACTTAGCAACTAAATTTATAAATCAGGTAACTATACTTATAAAAAACTTATAACCCCAGTTAGGGTACCTATAACCTTATTTACTAAGTCCCCTGATCCTCCACGTGTAAAATGGTACTCAACAGGAACCGAGCTTCCCAAGACGAAAAGCGCTGCCAAGTCCGTCTGGTCAAGAATCCCGACGGGCTTACGGCCATCCCCAAAGGGCTTGTGTAGCAGCACTGGAGCCTGCAGAAATGCATCGGAGTCGGGTAAACGGTATACGGGGTCGGGCTTCTGGGCTCACCGGCTGTCCGAGAATTTTGGTACGCTTTTCTGGTGGTTCTGACAGACAATTGAGGATGGTAGTGTATGTCTGGGGGGAAGGAGGGGCACTCCAATCTTACAAACTACCATATAGAGATTCATTAGAAGAGGATGACAATCTTCATTAAGGATTCCTTTAGGGGATATCGCACATGCATCGGGGAACACGATCAAATTGTATTGAATGCTGACGGTTTCAAGCATCCAACATCAAGGCAACATTGACACGTGGTATGATGGCTGCTAGTTCCCCAGTGTAGGTCTTTGGAAAAGATATTGATGTCAACTCTACAGGAGAGCAATACTTCTAATTGTTCAGGCTTCTACATTAGCACCTGCTTGGGGGTAGACTACCCCAGAAGCCGGCAGCGAACGAAATCCGGGAGTCCAGCTTTCCAGATCCTTGCAGGGTCTGGGTAACTGGCCCCTAGCCCTAAACCCTAAACTAAACCCTGAACCCTCAACGAGCTCCTGCCTAAAGGTGATGTCAGTCGAGCCAGCAGACGAAGCGCCGTCCATCTGCACGTGTTGTAAGCCTCGTTGGTGGTTAGAGGTCCTCAAAACCGGTATGACTAGTTCCGTAATATGATAAAAAGCCTCACAAAAAATCCGGCATAGAGAAAAAGTGTCCTTATGGACGACGACGACAACAACAACAAGGGCAAGTGAACACACTCCAACTCAAAAACATCCAGGAGCCCATGTTGACGTCGGGGCAGGTCAATGGTGCCTCGAGGAATGCGTCATCGGTGCCTTTATAGCCTGGGGATTGCAGTTCAGGGCTTAGGGCTTAGGGTGTAGGGCTCTGGGTTTTGAGTTTAGGGTTCAGGGCTTAGGGCTTTGGGTTAAGGGTTTAGGGTTTAGGATTCAGGGTTTGGGGCTTAGGGTTTAGGGTCTAGGATTACGGTTTACGGCTTAAGGTTTTTGATTCCAGTATACACAAACACGAAAATGGTATGCAAGCAGAACCAAGTAGCTTGGGGTCATATAGGGAGCACAGGAGCCTATCAAAGCCATCCTGCTGCACTTGTAAGCCAACTTGGCACTGAATGGCTTCTTGAACACATAGCTGAGCAGGAACCCACTTGGGCACTCAAGAACGTTACGATCCTCGACAATGCGCATCCCAGTCTCACCATCGATGCTGTTGCACGGGAGCACCGCCCCAGTGCCCCAATCGTTGTTCACAAAGACGAGACACGCTTGGCCGTCGCCGTCCGAGAGAGCCTGCTTCCCTGGGTTCCATTTGGAGCCGAAAAGGAACCCTTCTTCACTGGTTCCGCAGGCCTTGACCTCATAGTCGAAAAGGTGCTTCTTATCGTGAACGGTTCTGAAAAAAATGCATCTCCCGGGGTACTCCATGGACTCGAGGTAGGAACCGTTCTGGTAGAAAAAGCTCTTGCTGATGGGACAGGGAGATTCCAATAGCAGGGACTTTGCATCAGGGGCGTATGGAACTGCACAAGCCATGCCGACCATAAATCTCACGGTTGGAAGCACAAAGGTCACCTGGGAGCTTGTAGAAATTACTGTTCCCAAAATCGCGTGCGCGAATTATATACAGACTCGTGCGATTAAGGGCAATCCTCGTGTGAGCTATGGCCACCCTAAGCCCTAACCGTTGAACCCCAAACCCCAAACCTTAAGCCCTAAACTCTTGTTTGATTGAGTGAGTTCATGAATATCATTGTAGGTTAGTGTATATTAATGTAGATTAGTGTATATCTTTTGAGCACCATCCTCACCTGAGCTTCTTTTGGAGCTTCGATGGCTGATGCCAGCTTGCAGCCTTCGAACATAGGAGCCTTGCTGTCAAAGCTGAGGTTGCCCAAGCAGTATTCCCCACAATCTCCTTGGGTTGAGGGGCTTCTTTCTTGTGCACCTTTTTGGGTGCAGGGCTTCAGGGGTTTAGGGTTTACGGTTTTAAGGCGCGGGGTTTAGGTTAGTAGGGAACGAAGAGAAGGGTCCCTCGAGAATGCGCAATCCCCAACAGAACAGAATCCCGGAATAATCCAGTCCATCCCTTATGAACTACCGGTAAGTCTCGGGTGAAGCCCAGGCGGAAGAGGGGGCTGGCACTCCTTTCCTCTTCCTTGGCTCCTGCAGTCCGCGAGGCATTCATAGCCGAGGCAGCCACCTGGGCCAGCAGCCATTCGTTAAGCGAATCCAGGTCGAATCTTTGTGCCAGCGAAATGTTGTCACAGGCTGACATCACAAGCACAACTTCTGCATCTGTTAGCGCAGGTTCTGTACCTGTTAAGCACTGTTTCGTGTCCTGATCTGACCGCAGCTGGAAGCTGCCGGGAATGCTTGGACCAGCATGTTTTATCGCCCAATCTCCACCGTCTAGAGGGGAGGTGGCCCCACCAGGCCATTCGCTGGCACAGGCGGAGGTCTGCATGGACCGCAGCTGCAGCAAAGATGTGTCTGCTGGCAACTCATCTCGCAGCTGCACTGTCACGGGAAGGCCGTGGCTCGACGGCCTCGCAAAGGAGGTGGGGCAGTGTGGTTGTAATGCCACATCAAGCAACAGCCTCTTGGAGGCATACAGGCAAAGCGCTTTGTTGTCCGCTCGACAGAGGTAGAGTTCCCCAAGAGGTGCACGGCAGTCCGCTGCGGCGGGCAGAGGGCACCATGATGGCTGGCACTCCGAATGTATCAACGCATCACCACGCCAGTCCAAGCAACTTTCGCCGTGAGAAACGGGAAGTGCGGCACCGCCCAACATGAAATGGACGTTCGCAAAATCTGGCCTTGGTAGTTCATGCAGTTCACGCAATGTGCCATCCATATTCAGGTACAGCGGGTGAAGCTGGTCAATCAAGACGTTAAGTTCCAGGTTGGGAAGGAAGAACAGCTCCTGCACCTTCTGCGCCTCAAAGAGGACGTAACCTGGGGGCACCACCTGCACACCTGAAGTTCATTTAAGCTGTCATACTCATGAAACCACAGTACATACTATAGATTGCTATTGTCGTAGCTTACATGGAACTTCTTAACAAGAGCCCAGACACAGGAGCCACAGGCAAAGCCACTCAAGCCCGGCTCCCCGTCATCGCCCCACCAGCTGCCGCCTACACAAGAGATGGTGTAGTTGGAGCCTGAGGTGCCAGGTGACCTTGGAGTCACCGCCTGGTTCTGTGCAAACTGAAAGCGTTTACGTAGAGCCCTAGGGCCTCTGGGGTTTAGGGTTTAGGGATGTCTAGGGTTTAGTGTTTAGGGTTTAGGGTTTACAGAGTATCATAGTATGTACAACATAATGTATTCCTAGAATTAGCGGCGGGTTGCCCAGCCTGATAGCGCTCGGCCCAACATGAGTAGCGAAGCTGGCTGCCGGGCAGAAGCAGAGCCGGCATGCGACGCTTCTCGGGCCACACATCGCCTTCGTTCACAAACGCATGTGTGCATCCGAAGCATTCCTCCACACCCATCCCACCGAGCAGAAGTTGCAAATCGCATTGCTCCACCAGCCTCGAGTAGATGCAGGGGCTCTGCGCCTTCTCAGAATCTTCCCTGCCTGTCTGTAGGAAAGCCCGGCGCTTGCTGACGGACCAACACTTTTTGGGATCTGCTCGCCGGCAAACATTTCTTCGCACGACAGCTGACAAGGTGCCACTGGCACCCTTTTCTTTGAAGATGGTCTCGCATTTGCTGTAAAGTAGGCATTGTCGCAAGTTTGCGGCTTCACCAAACCAGAAAAAGGCACAGGGTGGGTTCACCTGGCAAGCCTTGCGGCAGTCCAACTCATCTGGCACGCTGGGAGGCTGAGCTACCGATGGAGGCAGCAGCGCTTCCTGATCACAACGGAATGAGCCCTGGACGATCGGAATTGCTTCGGGCAAAAAGTCGTTGCTTCCTTCGGGTGGCACTGACATGAAGCTCTCCGTGCTAACTGGAGGATTCGTACCCCATGACATCGGAAAGCAATCGCAGGGATGCAGAGAGTAGTCATTGGGTGTTGTGGTTGTTGGATCGTCCACCAAGAAAACCTCGTCCACCATCCCAGCATCTTTCTCGCCTTCCTCGCTTCCGGTGTTGGTAGTGATTCCCGATGGCGAGCAAAACTGGCTCCCCAGCGTCAGCTGCAAACCTCTGCTGGTGTGTAGTGGGCACTGCAGGGCACATTGTATTAGGGGGGTCATAAAGGCATACGATTCAGGCTAACACGTGAGGGAGAGCTGCCCCCGATACTCTCGATTCTACCGTACCAAACTTACTGGCATCCCAGATCTTGCAGCTGCTCCATCCAAACCCTGGAAAGTTCTGTTTCTGTCTAGCCCGAAACACCTCTGCCCACGTAGTCAGCCTCATTTTGCACCAGCAAATCTTCCTCAGCTCTCCAAGGGTCAATTTTCCATCCAAAGTGAACCGCGCAACTGCTTAGGCTTTGCGGCTTAGGGCCAAAATTTAGGCATGATGGGGTTTAGGGTTTAGGGTTTAGGATTTAGGGTTTAGGGTTCAGGGTTTAGGGTTCAGAGTTTAGGGTGGCACAAATCCGCCAAGCTTCCATCCCGGTCTCGAAAGCTGTTGGAACAACTGGCGCGCCAGAGTGGCTTTGCAAGCAGGCAACGTGGGAACCGAACAGCTCTATGTATTTGGAGGTAGTGTTCTGGAAGTCCCACGTGACGTTGCTCCTCGAGAAAACTCGAAGCTAAACTCAGCGGCAGGTGTCTCAACCCGACCCACGCAGACGGGACAGAAAGTTCTGATAAACTCCCAAGTATCCTCTACAGGAAAGAACTACTGATGGAAATCCAACGCATGCGCGACATCGGGTTAATTGTTTCTTTTTTCTAGGGATGCTACAAAATTTTGGGCTCGTGATCTGAGCCCTCGCAACCCTAAACCCTAAACCCGAAAACCCGAAAACCCTAAACCCTAAACCCCAAAACCCTAAACCCCAAAACCCTAAACCCCTAAACTCTAAGCCCGGCTCTGGAAACTACCAAAAGTTGCTCCTGGTCAGGAGCAAACTGCCAAAGCTGCAATTGGCATCTGGATCCGTCTGAGACGCCTGTAAATAGAAGATGTCGAACCTGGGAGTTTAGATTTCAGGCATAGGCACTGTAAAAATTGGAGTTTTCCAAGATTCGAGTCTCCACAAGTATACAACAAGTATATTCCTTACTATAGGGAGCCCCAAAGAAGATCGTTTATAATCCATACAGTATTTAGTTTGGGTTCCAAAATACAAACTCAACATGGCATTCAAGAAATATCCAGGCCGCGGACTGGCAACGGGCTCCCGCTTACGATACACAGAGGTAAGCTGGCTGGTGACCTAGTTCATTGTTGGGATAGGATTAAAATGTACATTTGGATTCCTCTGCGTTCAAGTACCCATAAAAATGTAAAATGTTACCCAACTATGACGAAGTGACAGGCTCCAGGCCAAAAGCAACCGGGCAGTAGATGCCGCTGTAGAGCCAGACGGGCTCTGTACCGGTGAGATTGAGACAGGTGTGCTCCATGCTGCAGTTCGCAATCTTCTCTATGGGGGAATCATACACCTGGGTGGTTGTGAAAATTATGGTCCCTTTTTGGGTACCCTAAGTATTAGGTGCCCTACTATGTTAGGGACCCAAAAACAACCGCCCACCTGGCACCCTTCGGGATGTGGCCCACAAGGTGTGAGGCGAAGACATGCGCCGGAGGACGTGTAAACTCCGCAGCGAGGATCCGTGCGGCAGGCCTGGCGGCATAACTCCGGCGGAAGATCTCCAAGGCTGTCCTTACAGGTGGCTCGTTTAAAGTTAGGTTAATTATGTGTATAGCGGAAAAAAAGGGGCGCAACAAGAAGAAGAGAAGTAGAAAGAGGACGGCAAAGCGGACAAGGACATGATTATTGCTGGAGCTTTCACCAGCAAGTCTCGGCGTACCATCCATAGCCCGAGTCCCAGGCTGGCCTCCAACAGATGGAATCCTGGACTGAAATCGTCAAGTTTCCCCGGATGGGCACCTGTGGAACGCCGACTTGCCATTCGAAGTGGCCCAAGATGCTGCAATGCACATCTAGGCGGCCTCGAGCTGCACCTGCTTGGGCTCCTCTTACTTGGGGGATCATGGGACGCAGCAACTAAGGTTGTAAGTACGTAAGCACGTTGGGGCTACGTTGAACACCCCTGGAGGAGAACCCTTCCGGGTCAGCCACATTGCTTGGTTGTGTCGTGTTTGCTGACACACCCATGCATCTGCTATATGCATCTGCTATGACCACCCGGGCAGCCTTTTAGGAGCCTGGCAAAGAGCATCGAGACGTTGGCTTCAGGCGACACCTGCAAGGCACCAGTTTCGATATCCAACTGGAAGATACTGTAGCCATCTGCCGACGCCAAGCCTGTGAGCTCATCAAACTGAATCCTGAGCTTTACGGTTCGGTCCCAACTGCCGGTGCCTGGGCCTGGTGGGATAGGAATTTAGACGCTGCCGTAGTGGCCAGCGCATCAATCAAGCAGGGCACCAGTAGTGCAGACAGCCAGTATCCCCTAACCCCTAAACCCCTAAACTTTCTCAACCCTAAACCCCTAAACCCTAAACCCCTACACCCTAAACCCTATCCCCAAAACCCTAAACCCCTGAACCCCTAAACCCTAAACCCCTAAACCCTAAACCCCTACACCCTAAACCCTATCCCCTAAACCCTAAACCCCTGAACCCCTAAACCCGGCCCTCAACCAGGAATCTGCTGATTTCTGCTGCCTGGCATCTTGACTTCCTGCTCACTGCTGCAGACTGCCGAGAACCGAGTTGGCGGCGCCCGGCCTTGTCATGCGTTTGCGCATGTGTATATGATATGTGTGTGTGTGTATATATATATATATATATGATATGTGTATATAATAATATGTATCTACATATATATATATATATATATATATATATATATATATGTTTATATCTTTTTTGTTTATTGAGTCATATTTATGATTTGCGACTCCCAAACATCTACCCATAGAATCTGTGTGATTGTGTGGTGTGAGCTTGGTTCCCGAGCTGAATGCAAAGATGCTAATCGAACCTGTAGGGATGGGCTGCAAGGAAGGGCCCAGCGCCGCCCCGGGAGCCACAATGACAAAGGCTTCGGCGTAGGTGATGCTGGACCAGGAGTTGGGCACCAAAACCTGAGCCGTGTTAGGGTCCAGGGTTTTAAAGGTTCGGGGTTTAGATCGTTTTTGCATAACATATGGGCCCTGATAATTAAAACAGGGTTTTGGATCATATTCTACTATAACTAAAATAAGGAACCTATTCTACTTTAACTGCAATAAGGAACCCCTAAAATGGTATTGGTAATTATTTAGGCCCCTAGGGGATCCTGGGCTCTGCGGAGAAGCGGCTGCCACAGGGGTAAAGTTGCCGCCCTGGCCGATGTAGCAAAGGCTGCCGCTGGCGTCTTCAAGGCCCGGGAGCTTGAGGTCGCTGAGCCCTGGCACCTCCCTTGCGTCTGAGGCGTTGACCTCACTTTTTTACGAAAGTGGTGAAGATGCCCAAAGACAAAGGATGGAAAAAAAGAGCCAAGCTGAAACCTTGGGATGCCCAAACTACCCCAAGAGCAGTAGAGTCGCAAGGAGTTCGCCTTGCTTGCGCAGCTGCAACCAATTATTGGATGGCACAGCTGGCAGGCAGTTCAGATGAAGATCGGCGGGCGAAACCTGAGGCGCGAAGCTTGGGGTGAAGGTTCGTGTCTTCTCGTCCCCGATCACAAGCAGTGAGCTCTGGTAGGCCATGAATTTGAAGACGGAGATGTGAAGCGGCGTGGAGGCATTCAAATCACCTTCGTGCGCTGTGATGACGCAGGACACCTCGAAGTTCTCCCTCAGATAATGAGCTCAGAAACTTGCAGGCCTTTGAAAGAACGCTACTCCATTTAGGCCCCTATATAATGGAACCCTACTATAGATCCCTTGTAGACCCCCTAAAGGAACCCTGATGACAGCCTTCCCGCACGATGCTGAATGGCCCTTGTGCGACAGAGTGGCGTGGCGCTTCCACAGCCTACTGCGTCACAGCCAGGTGCCAATTGCAGCTCACCTCCAAAACAAGCTGCGTACTGATGTGTTGGGGTCAGGTCTTCAGGCTGCAGTCAGGGTTTAGGGTTTAGGGAGCTAAATACTTGCGTGTGGTGAAACCCCTCTGCAGACGACCTGCTGATTTTCCCACAAACTTAAAATCCCAGCCTGTGGTGCCATTAATGGTCAAGTTGAAGTCTAGCAGCTTGCAGCTGCTGTCCACGGAGTAGCGCGAGGCTGTGCGCGGCAGGGGGTATCCCTTCGCGGTGCCTTCCACGCCACTGGCAAGCAAACGGGTAGGGCTTCATCTGACACGTAGACCCGGTATGCAGAGTGTATGTGTTGGTTTATAAAAGGTTTAGGGTTGTTCCCGAAAGCATCGCGAAGGGTTCTTCCGTGCGGAGCCGGGTAGATGAGTACACAGATGACAGACATAGAATATAGAATCAACTTACTTGACTCTATACCTTACTTGACTCTACACTTGATACTTGACCTGTTCAAGCTCATAGCACTTGAACTCTGTACTTACGTTTACTTACTTACTCTTGAACTCTGTACTTACGTTTACTTACTTACTTACTGAATTTACTTACTTACTTACTTGACTCTACTTACTTACTTGACTCTACTTACTTATCTATACTTACTTACTGAATTTGAACTCTATACTTACTTACTTACTTACTTATTTGACTCTACTTACTGACTTACTTACTTGACTCTATTGACTCTATGAATTACTTGACTTTGACTCTATGCCTCTATGACTTACTCTCTACATCTCGGTATCTAATCTCTCTTCTAAAGCCAGGGGTGGCACCGTCGTCATCCATCGGGAATGCAACCCTTCACACGGATTGGCCACCTCGAGCGCCCAAACGCTAGGTAAAGTTACACATTTTAGGCGCGCGGCGCAACCCTTCACAGGGATAGGCCACCTCGAGCGCCCAAACGCTAGGGAAAGTTACACATTTTAGGCGCCCGGCGCAACCCTTCACAGGGATTCGCCTCCTCGGGCGTTCAAACGCTAGGTAAAGTTACACATTTTAAGGTTCCCGCGCAACCCTTCACAAGGATTCGGCTCCTCGAACGTTCAAACGCGAGGTAAAGTTACACATTTTTCGAGCGCCGTGAACCCTTCACAGGGATTCGCCTCCTCAAGCGTTCAAACGCTAGGTAAAGTTACACATTTTGCGGGCGCCGCGCAACCCTTCACAGGGTTTGGGTGCATTGAGCTGCATTTTGCAACCCTTGGCATTTTGCAACCCTTCACAGGGATTGGCATGGTCGAATGCACGAACGCTAAGTAAAGTTGCATTTTTTGATGTGCATTGAAATGAATTTTGCAACCCTTCACAAGGACTGGCGTGGTCGAGTGTCCGAACGCGAGGTAAAGTTGCATTTTTTTATGTGCATTGAGATGAATTTTGCAACCCTTCACAGGGATTGGCGTGGTCGAACGCACGAACGCGAGGTAAAGTTGCAGTTTTTTATGTGCATTAAGATGAATTTTGCAACCCTTCACAGGAATTGGCGTGGTCGAATGCACGAACGCTAGGTAAAGTTGCATTTTTTAATGTGCGTTGAGATGAATTTTGCAACCCTTCACAGGGATTGGCGTGGTCGAGTGTTCGAACGCGAGGTAAAGTTGCATTTTTTTGATGTGCATTGAGATGAATTTTGCAACCCTTCACAGGGATTGTCGTTGTCGAACGCACGAACGCGAGGTAAAGTTATTACTTTTGATGTGCATTGAGGTGAAACTTGCAACCCTTCACAGAGATTGGCGTTGTCGAGTGTTCGAACTAGTACTAGTACTACTGCTACCATTACCACTACTACAACTATTATTACTACTGCCACTACTTCTACCACTACTACTGCTACTGCTACTACTGCTACTACTACTACTACTACTACTACAACTACTACTACTACTACTACTAGTACCACAACAACAACTACAACAACTACTACTACTACTACTACTACTACGACTACGACTGCGACTACAACGACGACGACTACTACTACAACTACTACGACTACCACTACTATCACTACTACTAGTACTGGTACTGCTACTACTACTACTACTACTACTACCACTACTACTACTACTACTACTACTACTACTACTACTACTACTACTACTACTGCTGCGACATAAAGTGACCATACATAGAGTCATAGAGTCACGTTGAAACCACAGTAATCAGGGATGTCGATATAGTGAGGTTCCGGAGCTAGGAAAGGAAGACTTCTGCGTCATGTTGGACTGTACCCTAAACCCGCTAAACCTGAACATTAGTGTTCATAGAGTGAACTACATCGAGTCAAGTGCGTGGTACATAGATGACTCCATGTCTCTATGACTCTTTCTCACTCTGACGCTATGACTCTATAACACTATATGACTCTATGATTCTGTCTCACTGCGACTCTATGACTCTATATGACTCTATGACTCTTTGAACTATGACTTGTGCTTGACATGTACTCGACTCTATTCCTCGATGACTCTATGAACTATGACTTGTACGACTCTTGACTGTATGTGACATTCCGACTCTGTGACTCCGTGCTTTTGACTCGGTGACTCTATGACCCTATACACTGGATTCTATGACGTAGCGCAACACTCTTCGCTGATGGTGCTTTCGGGCCAATTGTCTTCTAGTGGGTTTAGGGTTTTATAAATCTGTACGTTTGGTTGGCTGAATTGCAGCAACCCAAAATGTGCTCTGGAGTATTCATGCAAGTGGCGCTGCCCAAGCAACATTGGCTCAGTGTAATAGCCAAAGGCAGTGGCAGCACGCAAACCGCCCATGCAGCCGCAACATGCCACTGCTGAGGACATGCCATGAAAGCCTCGGCGGCTTAAGCTGGCTTTGATGGTTTAGGGTCCAGGCCGAGGGTTTAGGGATTCGGGTCTTCCCCTGCAAAGGACATAGCTTCTCTGGAAGCACTTTCAACGTCCTCACTCAGCTCAGCTGCGCTCTCCGCTGCAACTCTTTCCTTGAGTGATGTCATAGCAGTTTCTGCCTTGGGCATCCAGGAATCCAGGGAGGTCCATGCAAGCCGTACCTGGTCATTTACTTTAGGGGCCGTAATAATTAGAATAGGGTTCCCGTTAAAGGTGTCTATAAAGGTTACTATAAGGGATCTATAAAGGTACTGTAATATAGGGTTTGTAAAAGTTAGAATAGGGTTTTGGTGCCCATTATCCTATATTTATAATAAGGAACCCCAAGATAGTAGTGGTAATTAGGCACGGATATTTCTGCTATTTCCAACTGCCTGAATCCAGCCTCGGTCTGCAAAAATAGTCAACCCTAAAGCCCGAAACTCTACACTCCTAAACCCCGAACCCAATTTGCCCAGCGGACAATGCCCCGTGTCATCTAGGCTCCAGCCACCTCGGCACCTCGGTAGCTCGCACGCAATCGGACCCGTGTCTTAGGCTTTGGTGATTAGGATTTAGGATTGGAGGGTCTGGCGTCCACGGTGCAGGGTGAGATATGTTAGCTTCTCAAACATGTGGCTTCGTCTTCGGGCTATCTACAATGGAGAACACGATTGATTCTGCTGCAGGGCTCTATGGAACAACCCCAGTTGTTGAGAAACTCCCTTATCCAGCTGGGCGACTGCCTCCGAGAGGCTATATACCAGCATCTTTGGTCCCCTAAACTTAAAACCTTAAACCCTCACACCCTAAACCCCTAAACCCTAAACCCCTAAAGATATGAACCCCACACTGCCCTGGGCACCTGCCACAAGCTTGAGCATCCTCGGAGGAAGCTGCACATCCGCGACACCTGGGCAACGCGGCAGGGTGTTTTGTCAGAAATTTGCGAAAATTTGCGACTGAACCCGTTAATGGCCACTGTGACGGGAACCTCAATATGCCGAGGTGTCACTGTATGTCTTGACTTGTCGGTGAAGGTCATAAACGGAACGGAACCATAAGGACAAAGTTCAATGGTCGAAAGATATAGGGACCAACGGAGCACAAACAGGAACATGTCTCCAAACCTGGCTCAGATACCACATTGCACTTGCTGGGCAGCAAAATATGTCAAGCGAGCCATTGGGCGAAGGATGCCACACTGCTGTGCCTCTGCCGCGCTCGCAGAAGCCATCGGCCTTGTCGACGTGGGGGACGTCGGCCCGCTCCACAAGGTCGTGAACTCTGCGGGAGGGTCGGTTCCCACGGCAAAGTTCGAAAAAATCATCTGCCTCCTTCACGCTCGTCTTTGGGAACACTTTGGTTCGTGCTGTAAATTCGGGCTTCCAAGCTTCAGGTGCTATGGCAGAGGCCAAGCAGGCCGTGCCGCCCAACGCCAGTATCCATGCAAGAAAAACCTGCATCTTAGAGAAGATTTCTGCAGGCTCGGCTTGAACGAGCCGAAAGAATGTCACTCGAATGCAGGCTCAAACTAAGTTTCAGGACTCAGAACATGCGCTTAGTTGTCCCCGTCCTTAGTGTATCTCAAAGGTGCCGGTGAGGCTTCCAAGGCTCTGACATGGGCAACAATATTCAACCTCATGTGGGCATTTCCGGCATACCCATCAAACCCTCATCCCAAAGCCGTGGAAGAACTCATGGCCTGGCAGTGTCTGCGGCTTAGCCTGCGGCATGACAGGCGTCTTGCATGTGGAAAGGAATGGAACTTATCTGGCAGTTTCCATTGTCTTTCGGTTGGAAACTGGCATATTGCTTAGCATGTACGAAATTCTACATTAAAACTCAGCATTTCTCTCTGCGTTATATGACGTAAGACCAAGAATGCACATGGACTACCATCCCGAATATCGGACATTGGGGGTGTGGCGGTGGTAGTTGGGAACGATTAACGACAAACTGCACGGGAACAGACTATACTGTATGGACACACGACGTAGAATTTGCTGATACAAAAGTTTACCAACAAGAAGAACAAGCATAGTCATTCATAGTATACCCTAAAACCCTGAGCCCTAAACCCGACACCCAAAACCCTAAACCCGACACCCTAAACCATACACCCTGAACCAGTCGTTTCCATGATTCTGTCAAGGAATAGACACGAGCGCCTTGTGCGGGGCTGCTGGAGGCATTCGAGGCCATCACATGCTGCTTGGCACCGAGAAGCCTAAGGGTTCTAAGGGGTTAGGGTTTAGGGGTTTAGGGGTTTAGGGTTTAGGGGTTTAGGGCTTTTGGTCTTGGGTTTCGGGTTTAGGATTTACGGTTTTTGTGACTTGGGGTTTAGAGTTTTGCTTTTTGGGTTTGCGGATTGGGGTTTAATGGTTTAGGGAATAGGAAGAGGACTACAGTGACCACAGTTCGAGCTGGACCACAACGGGATCATGACCTTTCAAAGTTTTCTGTTGGCAGTCTCCATGCTGCGGAATACATCAATATCCCTACGTTAAAGTCTCCAGGGGGTCCCCTTCGCGCTAGGTGGAGCAGTCTATGGGGCAGAGGGGGTGCCTGCTAAGCATGTCCTCTACATGAGTGGGTCGAACCTTCATTGCTTTCATTCTACCGCCGCATTCTTGCAAACCTCCCTTCTGTGGCGGTTCTGTAAACAGAGTGGGCAGTGGGGCGGGGGTACGAAGAGTCCCTCCCAAAGGCCTTTACGGGGATCCGCTCCGAAAATCCACCTGGGATCATCGGGAATTGGATGATCCTGAGAAATACCTAAAATCCACGTGGTTTGAATTTGAGGTACCCATCACCCCATAAGCGCTTTTTGAGAACATGCTACTTTTCAGTGCCGCCCCGCAGGCAGCAGAATCACGTGCGGCACTCTTAAGAGTCTAGTGGCATGTATTAGTTTCGGCTTGTTTTTTTTTGCGGGTTTAGGGTCTGCGTCTTAACTTCAGTCTGCTCACAACTAGGATGCCCAGTAACCTGGGAATAAACAGGGCTCCCTTTATGAGGAACCTGCGGTTGATGATATAAATCCTGCATTACCCATAATAAGGAATATATGGGAATTATGGTGTATTCCTCGTTATGGGTCATGAAGGATTTATATCATCAACCGTAGGAATAAACAGAGCTCCCTTTATAAGGAACCTAGGACTACAAAAAGGGGGTAAGGGTACTACTGGGCATCCTGGAGAAGCAAAAGTCCAAAGACTTCGGTCAGCCGCAACAATAGAGCTCATGACCTCTGAACCTGGTTTAGAGTTTAGGGTTTAGGGTTTAGAGTTTAGGGCTTATGAGGTTTAGGGTTTAGGGTTTAGTTTAGGGTTTAAGGGTCTAGGGGTGTAGGGGTTTAGGATTTAGGGGTTTCGGGGTTTAGGGTGTTAGAGTTCAGGGCTTAGGTTTTAGGGGTTTAGGGTTTAGGGTCTAGGGATCCTTAAAGGGATCCTTAAAGGGATCTAGAGGGAACTCCAGAAAGTTGGAGTATGGTTTCATGGTAGGATACCCTATAATTTACCTTAAAGGGGTTACGATAATGATATTCCAACTTTCTGGCTTCTACTGTAGAGGGGTTCTATAAGGCACAGAAGTCAAGCCCCCTGAAAAGCCTCAATTCCCAAAGGGTCAGAATCCTGAGCCCTCATAAACCACGCAAAAAAAAGCAATAGCAACAAAACGGTGCCTTACACACTCAAACAGAGCAGGAAAGCTCTGAAACCTGAACCCCGAAACCCTAAACCTCTGAACCACAAGCCCCTAAACACCGAAACTCCTTTATAGAACCCTTGCCGATCCCTTAAAAAACACCCTTATGCATCCCTGTATAGAACCCTTACAGATCCCTTTAAAGGAACCCTAAAGATCCCCTTAAAAGGAACCCTAAAGAACCCTTTAAAGGAACCCTAAAGAACCCTTTAAAGGAACCCTAAAGAACCCTTTAAAGGAACCCTACAGAACCCTTTAAAGGAACCCCAAAGAACCCTTTAAAGGAACCCTAAACCCTAAACCCCGAAGATGTGGCCTCCATGTTCCTGTCTCGCCAATGTGGCTCCGGCGGAGGCCTTACTTGGAGGCCCGGAGGACTTTAGGCTATCTTTAAGGGCTCCTTTAAGGATCCTTCTTTAAGGGCTCCTCTAAGGTTCCGTTTAAAGGATCTATAACAGAAGGGTGCATAATTTATAATGACTTATGTGGGGTATTGTTAAGGGTTCCTTTAAGTGTCCCTTTCAAGGGATCTCTTGTATAAGGGTGCATAATTTATAATGACTTATGTAGGGTATCTTTAAGGGCTCCTTTAAGGATCCTTTTGCAGGATCTATAATACAAGGGCGCATAATTTATAACGACTTATGTAGGGTATCTTGAAGGGCTCCTTTAAGTGTCCTGTTTAAGGGATCTCTAGTATAAGGGTGCATAATTTATAATGACTTATGTAGGGTATCTTTAAGGGATTCTTTCAGAGTCCTTCTAAGGGATCTCTAGTATAAGGGTGAATAATTTATAGTTGGGGCGAGTCCATGTAGGGTACTTAATACCTACGGTCTGTCGCAGCCAATTCCGAGCAACCACAACATGCGGCAGGCAAAGCGCTTGCGGCATAGAAGCTGATTCTGCGGTGTTCCCAATATCTCCCTTTATCGTTTTTGACATCGCCAGCTCTAGCATGCACCGTTCTGCGAGGTGGCGTGGCTGAGTGGTTACCTGCGGGGCAGGGCAGTGAAATCAGAGGGTGATGCTGGTTGACGTACACAGCAAAAACGCAGGTTGCAAAGCACTACCACCACAATCGCTTGCGGTGGATATCTCGAGACCCTTTCTGAGTAGCCAGCGGGACAAAAAGGAGACGAAGCCGCTGCCGACAAATACCAGCATGCATGTCCCAGGAACCGAGCCGGCGCTCGTGGCTGGCATCCGATGGGTCACACCTCCGGTGTGACGGGCCCTTGAATCACTTAACTCCTACTCCACAATCACAGCAACAGTGATTTTCATGGGCTTCCAAATAGACTGCAGTCTATCGCTGCGGACAATACATCCTGTACCTGTGAACCCTTAACTTAGCGGAAACACCCTGAACCCAAACTAAACCAAATACACTAAACCCTAAACCATGGACCCCATACTCTAAATCCCACGGCCTCTTCATCTTGGCCTCCCCATGATGACGCCGGGGCCTCCCCGGCACCTTCGGTGCGTGCGTGTTTCGTTGGTCTTGCTTAGGGTTTGGGGTTTAGGGTGTAGGGTTTAGGGTTCAGGGTTTAGGGACGGAAATGTTTAGGACTTAGGGTCTGGATGTGTTTCGGGTTTTAGTTCTCAGAGCTTCCAACGGACATGAAACGAGATTCTGTAGGAGTCTGTGGGGTTTAGGGCTTGCATGTCGCCCAGCTTACCGAGAATCCAAATATTTCAAATACCCGGAATGCTTGAATATTGTTAGAGTGTTGGCGGATCTTAATGTCGGAAGGAGGGTATGCAGCGTCCTAGCCCCCCCTGGCCTGAAGCCAAGCTGCAGGCATATTTTCGGCTCGTAAGCAACTTGGAGTGAGTTATGGCACCAGCTTTAAAAAAAAACACTGCCTCCTGAAGCATGCAACAGAAGCCAGGAATCTTCATGAGAGCTAGTCCACGCTCCTACTAAATCCCACAATCATCCCTACGTAATCCGCATATAAACCCCCCGCGTAAGGAGCTTAGTCTAGAGCTCATGCGGAGCAGGAAGATCTGTAGCTTCTGCCTTGCAGGACTTCTGCCATGCAAGCCAGCAGCAGCTCACTTAAAATACCACTTTCAACATTTGCTAATTACGCTTGATGTCCCATGTCTCTTTCACTGTAGGATGATACTTGGCGGCCTGGACTTGGTATAACTGCTACTGCCACTATACTTATGTCGGCAGTCTCAGACAGTGGTAGAGGCAATTCAGGCTTCTACACTCCCTTTCACGGAGTCAGCCGGAAGAGCGTCACACAAAGAAGGTGATGAAGTCAAGGATCGCATCCACCGTGTCGTTGAGAGCCTCTCCTTTGGCTGCTGCCGTGGTACGGTACTGTTGATGATATATATCCTGATTACCCATGATAAAAAATATGTGGGAATTCTGGTACATTCCTGATTACGGGTAATGCAGGATCTATATCATCAATCGTTTATAAGATATCAGTGTATTCTAGCATCGCAATACTCTCGTATCATAGCATTGTCTCATTATGGTACTGTGGAAATATGTACTGAAGAATGTTGCAATTGCAGTGGTGGGCGTTGCGCTGCGAGTGTAAGTTGCATGAAATGCCTGTTTGGTAGGGATCCTCTATCGTACTAACACGTCGCATGGAACACATGTTGGGCCATTCGCCCTTCCTGTAGCACTGGGGCTGGTTTGAGGCCTCCATCGAATGTAACATGTAAGGATTCCAGCGCTTTAAAGCAAGTATATATGCCAAAAGAACTACAGATCCAGCCTGGGACAGTCCTCAAGCCAAAGCTACGCAAGCGCTTGAAATCTGTGCACGGCGGAATAATGGCCCAAGATTCCCTAACTACATCATTTGTTCACCCCAAACCCTTCAAACCCCCGTCAAAACCGTACACCCCTAAACCCTAAGCCCCCAAAACCCCTAAACCCCAAAAACACCCTAAACCCAAAAAAAATGCCATCATCCCGTAGGGCTATCAGCCATGACTCCATCTTGACTGTTGTCCAACTTCAGAAGAGGCATCTTCATAGCATGGGACTCAAGGATCTCCTCCGCTCGCGAGAATCTTTCGCCAGCCCCTCGTTCAGGAGCCGTAACTTAGGAACTTAGGGTTTGAGGTTAGGGTTTGAGGCGTGGGTTTTGGGTGTAGGGCTTTCGAGCCTCTTCGCAGGGACCTGCACAGAACAGCCCAACTCCTGATGAGGAGCTTGGTTTGGGCCATCCTTACAGGTTGAGGGTGTGGTGATATAATATGATTTCGGGGTCTCCCGAGGGTTTCTTAATCAGGTTCCTACATTAAATGGCTCCTCAAGCTTCTCCCCTGTAGCCTTCGAGAGCTTCTCGGCATCTGCCTCCTCATCTTGGAAGCGCAAAGCGGAAGTTTGGAAAATGGCCCTCCGCCTCACCATTAAAGGGATCTAAAAGGGCTCCTATAAGGGATCCATAAGGGTTCCTATAAAGGGATCTATAAGGGTTCCTATCCTCCGCCTCACCATCGTTGCTGCGTCGATCTTCAGCAGCACCATGAGTACAATCCCTGTCTCTATCTCTTGTCCAATGGCGTCGACCGCACGCTTTAGCAAGTCTTCTTGCTGCTCGGGATGTCGGGTGAGTGCCCATGCAAGATTCCCCAAGTGCCATGTCTCCACCACCCTTGAGGTCACAGTGCTCCTCCGCTCCTGATCCCGGGCAACTTCGGCTTGATGAATCGTATCGTCCCACGCCTTGTGGTAGCGGCCCTTCTCCTCCTCCTCTCCTCTCAAGGAAGTACCCAACTCCTCGTCAGATCTCCACTGGAGTCTCTCCGCCAAGCACTTTCTGACCGTCGACTTCCCCGCCGTGTGCGGACCCATGAGGACCACTGTAACCTTTCGACCCTTCATTGGCTGCTCCCTTGCCACCACGGGCTTTGGGGAAAAGGGCAACACGGCCTTGGGGCCCTCCCAGCGCCTGGAGGCCCAGCGCTGCCACTCGCATCTCCGAGTGCCTCCCGGGGCCGGCGGATGCCCGATGAGAACTTCCATCCTGTGGGGGATGAAGATGTAAGCTGTGGAGGGCCCTTCTCGGGTATCATCCGCTCGAGTTCCCGAGACCGCCTCTTGGTCAGACAAGGCCATCCGTCCCTGCGAAGGCCCCTGCTTCCAAAGCTCCCTGCATCTTTCCATCGCGCAGGCAAGGCTGAAAGGTGGCGCTGGGGATCCCCATCTCATCTTCCTAACCACACCCTCACCCCTCCACTGCTGTTGGAAGGGATAGCTGCCAAGCAGCAGCACCATGGAAGCAGGGACCTCCGCACCTGCCTGGCCTGCTGCCCCACCAGCACTGCCCAAACTGAAGAAAATGAATCCAGTCTCCGTGACAGAGTGTATCCCCAGGTTCCGCACTGAGGGGGGCCCACCGGGTGAACAAGATGGGGTGGCGAGCTGGAAAGACCATGGAACATGCTTCCCCCTCCTCCCCAGCTGCCACTTCTTGTCCCCCGAGACGTCCCTCAAGAGCCCCTCCTTCCTGGCAACGTTCACCAAACAGCGAAGAGGATCTGCACCCAGCAACGACTCCAAGTCCTCAGTGGAAGGGAACATAGCCTTCTGGATCTCGCCCATGACCACGTCGAGCATTTCACTCTCGCTGAGGCCATTCACCCTGAGACTGACTTGGTCCACATCAAGCTTTTGCAAAGCCCTGGACACCTTCGCAAGCTTGGGGGAGCTTGCCTCAGCATCCTGGACCACCACGAGCTGCAGTCTGGGCTTCGGCAAGCCTGGCGGCCACACCATGCTCTCACCGTCGCCGGATGCCCCAAGACTGCATGAGAAGACGGAGGAACAGAAGTTGTAGATGATGAACACGAGAGGCGTACACTCGGCCGCGCAGATGTCCTTGCACTCCTGCACCACCATGTAGTTGGATACCACATCGAACGCTTTTGCCGCTGCCCCTCCAACCTGGTCGAAGATGCCTTTGACGATGCTCAAAGAGGCCGGCGGAGCGCAGGCCACACGCACCGTGGACTGGCAGCACATGTCCCCGGAATCCTGGCCGAAAGCCTGAACAAGAATGCCTTCCACACTTACGAGGATGGGCTTGTACCATGGGCTATTCACCTCGCAAGAATTCTGCAGGTTCTGCAACCTCTCATAGAAAGCTTCAAGGTCCTTCTGACGCTCTTCCCCCGCGCATGGTTCGAGTTTGGAGATTGTCGTAGCAGCCCTCAACTCGCATGCGGCCGCAGAAAGGTCAGGAAAAGGGTCCCAGGAACCAAGCCTCTGCTTCTTGCAGCCAGCCATGTCGAGCTGGCGCTAAACTCCCTCTGGCACCTGGCTACGCTGTAAGCTGTACTTGAGCCAGGCCTCGCAAGCTCAAAGTCTGAAGGACGAGGCCAATGCCTCGCTCTTTGGTATACCGGCCCTGGCAGCATGGGCATGGTACAGAAGAGCACACTGTGATGCTTTGCCTCCGCCATATGCGCAAGCGACTTTGCTGATCATCAAAGCTCCCTCACGTGCGACCTAGCCTAGTCAACGCCACGTCGAATGTGGAGGACGTCAGAATGTCAGGCGTGCCCATGCATACCTTGCCAAGATCAGAACCACCCAAACCCCAAACCCTCAAATGCAGCAGCCAGTTGCTGAATCTGTGACGATGCTTTCAAGCCGTCCTTCTGCCAAGCGTCGCTGAACAGGCTGCTACCAAAGTTGCACGTGCTCACTGCAATGTAGCATCGGCCCCGCAAGCTAGCACTGGGGGGGGTGTTAGCTGATGGATGTAGGACTCCAAAGCATCGGAGCTTCATTACCGGCTTCCTGGTGGCCCTTCTTCTTACGCTGCTCGTCTGAAAAGCCAATGGGAAGTAGCCAGGTGTTTCACACATCATGCGTGGTCGCAGCAGAGGTTTTCAACAAGCATCACAGAGTCAAGCACATCGCATCAATCCAGTGCAGTCTTATTTTGTCAATTGGCATGTCATCTTCCGTGTGATTCTCGAATGTTTAGTCACTGAAACAGCAGCCGCAGCGAAGACGAAACACCACTCATTGCGCAGCAACACTGCAGGGTCACATGGTACATGTACATAAATCCTAAAGTAGTGACGCCTAAACCACAGAAAGGGGCGCTAGATATAAGAACTCAGCACTTTTCCAACACGAAGTTTGTCCTGGCCTGCCACGGCTTCGCCGGTCGAACAGCCATCTTCGGTCTGAAGGAACGGTGACTGACACATGGACAATCATAGACGTCACTGACGTCACCGTCTCATATGTTGTGCCCTGTGGGGGCTTCTTGCGGCTTCTTGGGTGAGGTTGAGAAGTCTCGTGGTGAACGGAGCTCAGTGCAAAGCCACTACTGGCTTGGCCTTTGCAGGCTGAGCCATAAACTGATTCGCATTCACACCTGACCAAAACCAACAGCACACCGCCAGCTGCAAGTGCTCACTTTTTCGGCTGTTTGCCTGGCGACCGTGCGCTGCCCGCACGGGCACACCGTCGAACTGAGAAGCCGGTGCACATGCTGCTACAAGCATGGGTTCATCTCATGACTGAGGGGCATCGTCTCTCTGGTAGACTTACACACCAACAAATGTCCATGAATCGCTGACGCCAGCCCTAGATCAACATGATTGCAAGAGTTCTCCGATGCCTTGGGTGAAGACGACAAACCTACAGTGTCAATCAGCGTCTCTTCCTCTGTCGATGGATTGGCCCGTAGCAGTCTCTTCTTCCGTCACCCTCCTCGTTCCACTTTTCAGCCGTCTCGCCTTTGCCTGGGCAGCGTTCACAAAGCCCAAGGGCCCGAGTCAGCTTGCCCAAACGGAGGCTTTGGCTCTGGAACCTGTTTCGTGAACCCTAAACCCCTACACCCTAAACCCTAAACCCCTAAACCTTGAACCCCTAAACCCTAAGCCCTGAAACCCTAAACCCTAAACCCCAAAACCCTAAACCCTTAAACCCTAAACCCTAAAACCTGTTTCGTGAATAGCCCGGCCCCTTCTTCCTTCACCTCTCAGCAATACTGCGGTGATGCTGGGACTCATTGCACGTTTATGTCTTGTGCTGGCGGTGCAGATTTGTGTGTCTACAATAAGGCACCCCCAAAACAGTACAGGAAATTATTCAGGCCCTACATTCATGCGCCTAGTGGTGTTCAGTCAGCTGCCCCCCCCAACCCAACCCAAACCAGAGGCGCAATGCTGTTGCAAGTGTTCCTCTCGTGTGGTTTCGATCTACTTGGAGGGGCAGGGGACTTAGTAAGTAGGTTATAAGTAGGGTTATAATTGGGGTAACTCCATTTAGGGTGCTTATAACTCTATTTATAACCTACTTACTAAGTCCCCTGCCCCTCCAAGTAAGCCGCCCGGCTCTGCAGATGAATTTTTTAGGGATCTTGTACTCGCTGCTTGCAACTTGCGAGAGCCATATGGGAGTTTCCGACATTTAGGGGGACCTTATGTTGGGGTCCTTTTTATAAGGATCCCACTATTTAGGGTACTACATTATGGTCCCCTATTTTCGGAAACCCCCATATCAGCCGTGGCTGAGGACCCGGCGGTTCTTCAGTGCCTCTGGCATAGAGGCGGGTGCTGGAAACAAGGGGCGAGAGGCCCGAAGATGCTTCCGCGCTATGGGGCTGCAAGCGGCTTTACTCTGCTGCACGGCTGTGAGACCGAACTTGCATCTACAATGCTCCGTGATGTAATGAAGCGAACCTCATTCCAAAGGAGGGCTTCTCATTCCAGAAGCCGGACCCAAAAGAGTCCGCCCTCATTCACGCACCACAGCTCGCGGATATCTAGGGACACCCAGTCGACGCACGGACATACACCCTAAACCCTAAACCCCGTTCGAGCCCCTGGCCAAGTCTGGATTCTTCTTCAAGACCAGCTCTGCTGTTCTGATCCCAATTTGGTAGCAATAGTGCAACACTGTCATACCTCGGCTCCGCAGAAGCTTGCCTTTGGTTAGTAGGGCATGGAGGAATGGGGTACAAGTACAACTACTATTACTACCATTCTTCCATTCCCTACTAGCCAAAGCTAAGGAAGGCAGGACCCTAAACCCAAAGCCCAAAACCGCAGGAGAGACGCCTTGGGCTCTTGGGCCAGACCGCAATGGTCGCATCCTTATGAGTATCAAACGAGCCTTGGGTTGTGGGTGACCTTTGCTGAACAGTAAGGCCGTGCGCGATGAAAGGACAAAACTTAGAATATGTCATATGTATATATACATATGTATGTATATATATATATATATATATATATATATATACATATATATATATATCTTTACATATTCATCTAATTCGATTAATGTTTATATGTATAGTTATATCTATACCCTTCTCTATACTTATAAAGAATATTCTGTGATATGCTATAATATAGCGCATATATATATATATATATATATATATATATACGCACACACATACATGTTTCTTTATTGCCTATTCTATCTGATGAATTATATGACATTTCTTGTATATTTTACACATTATATCGTGGAGATAGGGCCCCCGGCCGTCGTAGTCTTGCGCGTCCTGGGCGCAGCAGGCGGGAACGGGGCTTCGCACCCAAGAGCTTGGGGTTTAAGATTTGGAGGAAGACTGGATCTACAGAAGTTGTAGAAGCTGTAGGCCGGAGAAGGGCTTCTTCGCTCTGGGCCTCGGAAAACTGCTTCAAGATAGCTAGCAATGGAACATTTTGTCCGAAGTGCCTCGCGAATCGCTCCGCGCCTGTAGATGCCTTTTGGGTCACCTCGTGTCTGCCCTTGGTTTAGGGCTTTTTTTTTTGAGCACCTTTTTCTGCAGTCCAGAGAGGGTTGGCTCTCGCTTGTCTCTTCGTCCGAACATGTTGACTTGCACCGAGCGAGGAAGGGCAGAAGGACAGGGTGAAGCCAACAGGCGCAGCTGGGCGACCCTGATCAACCCTGAACCCCAAACCCCTAAACACTGAACCCTGAACCCTGAATCCTACACCCTCAACCACTAAACCCGAAACCCTGAACCCCGTACCCAAAGCCCCAGACTCTAAACTTCTAGGGGCCCGGCCACATTCGCACCGTGATCAAGAAGTGGCTTAATCACCTTCGACTGACCTTTGCTTGCTGCCAAGATCAGCAGTGTTCGGCCTCGGAAATGGAAGCGGGGTTCGTTACGGGTTATATAAGGTTTCGAACTCGTACTTTGTCTGACAAGTCTACTAAGCATTCTACTATGTACGCTACCTTCTATGCTGCTGTCTTGCACTTCTTGGAGCTTCAGCAAAAAATATGGGACTTGTGCATAACACCCCTCTTACTAGGATCCGAATTACGAGAACTCCTAGACAGAGGGGTACCCCGAGTTTTTTGAAACGTCCGGGCTAAGGCTAGAAAAACGACATGTTCCCTCCTGAGCTGAGTCTCCGGCCATAGTTGTCCGCTAAATCCTGAGTTGGAGCAGTATGGGGGGCCTGCAGACTCAAAGTAGGGTTTCAAAGTATAATAAACGATAATTATGAATAGGGGTTTCGGGCTTTAGGGTTATGCCTGGTCTTCCCGGCAGAGCTTGCGGTTGGAGTAGGGGAGGACCAAGGTTTTCGGTGCCTGTCAGTATCGTAAACATGATGATCCTCCTGCATATGTTGAGGCAGTTTTGCTGGCCGTCGCTCGAAGACCCTCGGCTCAAAAGACTACATGGGAGTTTCCGATGATTCGGGGTACCTTATTTTGGGGTCCTCATAACAAGGATCCGACTATTTAGGGTACTATATCAGGGTCCCCTTTAATCGGAAACTCCCACATCCTCGTTCCGCTCCGGGCCACAGGCGCACGGGCGGCCAAGAGTTCTTTCACCATCTCAACGTAGCCTTTCTCCGCTGCCACCAGCAGCGGCGTGCGCCCAACTCGGCCAAAAAGGCGCTTGGGTACGTGATGCATTATGAGGGTTACTACAAGGGATCTATAGGGGTACTATAATACTATAATAATGTAGGAACCTGATTAAGAAACCCTGACTTTTAACCCGCAATTTGGTAGGATTCATATAAGGAACCCTAATAGAGGCGCAAGGTTTCTTGATCGGGTTCCTACATTATACTCACATGGTCTACTCTCAAGTATGACGAGGTTTCCTCGTCCGAGGAAGTGCTACAAGTACTGAATAGGATGCAGAATACCAGAGGCCGGGAAGTTTTCCACTGGCATGGCAGTTCGGGGCACGGGACTCTCGGAGGAGTCTAAAGGGGGGAAATGCCTAGGGTTTAGGGTTGAGGGTTAGGCTTCACAACATGATACTCGACGAACCGACGGCCCGGCTCAGTACTGTCTAGCAATGCTAGAATGGAAGTTACCTCCGCCTCAGCCCAGCTGAGCGCCTGACTACATGGGGAACAGTCAAGAGAACTCCGGCTGGCCTGGTTGAAACAGCAACAGGGGTCTCCAAATTTGGAGACATTGCAAGCTGAGAAGGCGAGGTGCAAGCCAAAGGACAGGGAAAGATTCCAGGATACTGGTTGGAAAGCAAGAAAGCGACGGAACAGCTGGGTTCAGCGGCATCTGTCTAGCAACCCTACTCCCAGCGCCAGGCAGTACCCAAAAAAACGCACCCTCTGACATATCTGCGGAGGTTTTAAGCAGTTCTGTCTGGTCTGGCGTCAGAAAGGCTGGGCCCCCGACCATATTTGGCTTCTTTGGCAAATGCTTTTTGTCACGGTCACGAAGATGGTTTTGTACCGGTACATCGTTGAGCTCGCCGGAGTGATGGAGCAGGGCACAAAACTTCATCATGTCGTGCTTCTCTGTAGCTTCTTGCAGCTCGATGTCGGCTGGCACAGGAGAGCGAAGCAGAGCTTGCAGAAAGCTGAAACCATCTTAGAGCCAGCTACTTACCTTTGGTTGGTAGGGAATGGAAGACTGGTTGCAAGAGTAGCTATAATTGTACCCCATTCCTCCATTCCCTACTAACCAAAGGTAAGTCTTAGAGCCAGCTAACTGCGAGCCTGGATTACTGTACGCATGGGCCCAGTCCGAAAGCGCCTCCGGAGGCTGCTTGAGGCGGGCCGCGAAGATGCGTGTACATATATATATATATATATATATATATATATGTATATATATATATATATATATATATATTTATATACATTATTACATTACATTATGTTATATGATGTTATATTACATTTTCTACATTATATATTATTTTATGTTATATAACAGATAATATGAAGTATATTAAACATTATCTAATATATGCTGATTTAAGGTGGCACGGCTTAAGTTTGGATTTGGGCTCTAGGACTTTTGGACTGTTCAGGACTCCCGGCGTGCATCCACAGGCTGGAATGAGAAGATTCCAGCAACAGCCCAAGGCACTCTGTTGAGGTTCCTCTTGGTTGCATCGTTCATCCGGTAAGCCTGCCGAGGGACACCGGCACAGCCGGACACTAAGCCACGGAAGCCAACCAACGCCTCGCACCCAGCTCCAGCAGGGGGCTTCGGCGCGGGTGGGGGACGTGGCGGCGGGCTTGGGCTTGGGCTGCTCCATGGCCAGCCGTCAGCCTCCTGCACAGTGCCCAGGTTCAACATTCAAGCCCTAATTCGGTTTCAGATCACGAACATCAGCAACTAACAGGATGACTGCCTGATTGGTAGGTTGTAATTACGCGTGCAACTGCTATTGACTCATACTAATACAGGTTCTTCTTTCTACTCTAGCCGTTGCTATTCGTACCATAATACTACTTTTAATGCATTCTACTACTACTACTACTACTACTACTACTACTACTACTACTACTACTACTACTACTACTACTACTGCTACTACTACTACTACTACTACGACTACTACTACTACTACTACTACTACTACTACGACGACTACGACTACGACTACGACTACGACTACGACTACTACTACTACTACTACTACTACAACTACTACTACTACTACTACTACTACTTCTTCTGCTACTACTACTACTGCTACTACTGCTACCACTACCACTACCACTACCACTACCACTACCACTACCACTACCACTACCACTACCACTACCACTACCACTACCACTACCACTACCACTACCACTACCACTACCACTACCACTACGACTACTACTACTACTACTGCTACTACTGCTACTACCGCTACTACTACTACTACTACTACTGCTACTACTGCTAGTGCTACTACTGCTGGTGCTACTACTACTACTACTACCACGACTACTACTACTACTACTACTACTACTACTACTACTACTACTACTACTACTAATACTGTTGTTGCTGCTATTACTACTGCTACTAACACCACCACCACCACCACGACTACTACTACGACGACGACTCCTACTACGACTAATACGACTACGACTACGACCACGGCTACGACTACTACTACTACTACTACTACTACTGCTACTACTACTACTACTACTACTACGACTACGACTACGACTACGACTACGACTACTACTACTACTAATACTACTACTACTACTACTACTACTACTACTACTACTACTACTACTACTCCTACTCCTACTCCTACTCCTACCCCCCTACCCCTACTCCTACTCCTACTGCGACTGCTACTGTGACTGCTACTGCTACGTACTGCTACGTACTTCTACGTACTGCTACTACTAGTAGCCACGCCCCCACCTATCAACCACCTGGCGACCAAACCCATTGTCATTATCGTTGGTAGGACTGACTACGACATCGCGAAAGTATTGAAAATACCAAGCAAAAGCTGATTGGCTTGATTGGCTCTTTAGAGGTAGGTTATCATGCCCCCCGTGCCTCCCCCCCCCTCCAACCCACCACCCACCCCCCCATCCCCAAGCAGCAACCGTGCTCAATAGCGGTGGCTGGTATCGGACTAAGACATCACGAACGTACTGCAAATACCAAGTAAACTGGATGTGCTCTTAAACAGTGTCTAGGAGAGGTAGTTGGCGGGGGGCTTACTACTACTGCTACTGCTGCTGCTGCTTGCACAACCACAAACCATGATGTTACATCCGAGGCAAGCATCAATCATGACACAGGGTAACCACAAAGCTTGACATCCTGTTTCGTCCACCCATGATCATGTACCTTTGTTTCCCGGAGAACCTTCTCTCGAAGAATCAAGCTCCTTCATTGCAAGGAGGACCAGTGGCTGCACCCAGACATGCTGCGAACGAGTCGTTTTGTGTAGACAATACCATTTCCAAAGAACCGAATCAAATCCCCTGCCACAACCACCCAAAGCCTCCTCCTTGCCGGTTCGGAGGTCGCCCTCCGCAGCCTGAAGCGGGGTACGAGCCGAGGCTAGCAACAGGTAGTTGGGGGTTCCGCAGATCTTTGGACCAGGTCTCCTTTATCTTTAATCTTCGTTGAACATCACCTGACCATACCATCGGGGTTGAAGATGCGCCTCCGGCATGTACGGCTTAAGGAGGTAAAAGTTCTGAGCTATTCGTTTCCAATGATTCGCTCCAAATCCAAACAGCTTGCACGCAACTGCAACACATCTGACTCAAGCAAGGTCCCTTGCGGGGTGTGGCCTCCAAAGCGCAGCCGTTACAAGCCCCCCAACACGGGATGGAGTCCCGTAACCTGATGGGAGCCACGAACCAAGTTTGTTGAACTCCAAGACCCCTCAGTACCCTCCTGGACACGCCGCCCTATGTGCAAGTTCCCGTTTAGCTGACCGGGACCCACGCGACCCTTACGATTGCTTACCAGAGCGGTGCCAACGGTTGCAGGAGCCGTGTGGCGAGTTCGAGTCAACTCTTTCACCCCCAAACCGCTGCACCTTCAAACCAGAAAGCTCGGCCTGCACCTCCCGGAAAACAAAGTCAGCACTTAAGAACGCCTTGAGTTCCACACTTCCGGCACCGAAACATAGAAGCTGGGTAAGCAAGGCTGGCAAACAGCACCAGGCTTCGGGCTAAACCCAAGCCTAAGAACAACGAACTCAGCAACCGTCTAAACCACTTCAATCCCTAAACCCCCTAAACCGTCCCGAACTGTCCTGAACTCTGCACCCTAGCTTTTGGGAGCCTGCAAGGCGTCCTGCCTGGCGGCCTGGGACGGGAGCAAAACGGTGGGCGAAGGGCTTTCCGGACTCCAAGTAATATAGGGGACTTACTAGTTAGAAGCTCGAGCATCACTTTTCTTCCACCGCCTGAGGTCTTCCGCGTGCCAGCCGCTGCATATGCAGCAATCCGTAAAGAGGATCGGAAAAGCATCGACCCCAACTCTTTGCGCCAGGGCGGGCGGGTGGGAGCAGCTGAAAACTTCACCGAAAGATTCAGCCCTCGCTTCTAGAGTACAGAAGCTCGAGCATCACTTTTCTTCCACCGCCTGAGGTCTTCCGCGTGCCAGCCGCTGCATATGCAGCAATCCGTAAAGAGGATCGGAAAAGCATCGACCCCAACCTTCCCAGATCTGCCCGGCACGCGGTAGAGGCCTATGGCCAAAGGTAGTACCAGCATCTGCTGGGTATGTTGCTGTTTGCCCAAACCTGTGCCTGGTTGAGCATGTTTGGGAAGTGCTGCGCCAGTTGGTAAACGTTTTCACGGGCTTTGTCGGAGAGATCAGCGACAAAGGTCGAGGCAGCAACTTCTTGCAAATAAATCTCCATCACCTTGTGGGAGGCCCAACGCCCGCGTCTGCGAACCAATTCAGAATCTTCGGTGAGTTGAAGGAGGTGTGTCGCTCCTCCTGGTCGCAAGGAGCCTAAATCGAGGGAGCGGCCCTGCTCCCCCGATTTAGGTATCTCCAGCCTTTCCAGAATACTGTCGAGGCGCCGTCTCAAGGTCTGGTTTGCGAAGGGCCAAAGTTTGGCGTGCTTAGGCAAGTTCAGAAAAGCCAAAGAGGCGACAGCAACCAGGTCGCTTTGCTCCAATTTTGCAGCCTGATGTTTCGCGGCACGTCCGCGGGTCTTCGGTTGATCAATCCTGACCAGAATAAAAGACTGCATGTTGAGGGCGTCGCGTGGAAATACTAGGTTTCCCCTGGTGGCACACGTAGCCTCGGAGATTCTCAGGAGGGCGCCCCAGGCCAAAGCGAAGATGCCAGCTTCTCTAACCCAGCCCCAGGCAAGGCAAGAAGCAATGATGGCCATCAGCACCAACGGTGGCATCGCTATGTGGTGGGAAGAAGGCTCTTCAGATAACCAGGTAAAAGCCAGGTCCCACGCAGCCTGACAGGACCTCCGGATGCTCGGCTTTGCAGCGGTCAGCGCGTTGATCGTCTCAGAAAAATGCCAGTAGGGCCGGCCGCTGTTATAAAGGTCCCTTCCAAAAGTAACCAGGAGATCCACGAGGGCCTCTGTATCGAAAGGCTTCTTCTCGAGCAGAGTTTGAAGAGAGGCACCTGCGACCTCCAGCAGCCATTGCGAGAACCCTGAAATTAAAAGAGCCCTCCTAGAAGAAGTGACAGCTTGCACCGGACGGCCAGAGGGTAGAGGATAAAGGCGGCGGTCGAGGCGACGAATGTCATCGGCGTTCCGAGGGGTAAGCATCCCAAGGGCACCGGAGAAGGCAATAAGGAGAAAAGCCCAGGCACGAAGAGGAGGGCCTTCACCAGGGAATCCCAAGGAGGAGTCAAAGTCCTGGTGGCAAAGCGGCGTGTAGGGAGAAACTTCGGCGAGGGCCGCAAACCTCGAACCCGAACAGAAAGCCCGGAGGGCGTCGACAAGTTTAGTTGGTGAGTCGAAAGCCACAGCGAAGAGGAGAAGGGCAAGTCTAGCCCAGCCTGCCCGAGGGCGCGAAAGGTGGCCCAAACTGCTAAGGGTCCGGAGGTCCTCCCGACTCCAAGGCCGGGCTGTGGCTCGTAAGTGGTGGCTCGCAACACAGAGTCCTCGAGCCAGGCACGGAAGGCAAAGGCAAGAGCACGGTCGGAAGGTTTGCAAAGTCAGGTCGATCCGAGACGGCAGCGGGGGCCCCACGAATGTGAGCGCCCAGGAAGGAGACGCCACGAAAGAAGGGGTGGCCAAGAAGGGCCTGCGAGGAAGCGCCAGGTCGGGCAAGGAAGGCCCTAGCCCAGGGCAAGTCCAGCACAAAAGAGCAGGAGGAGCACCGCATCACGCACGGGACGCCGACCTTTCTGCAGAGCTCCATCAGCAAGAAAGCACGCCCTACGAGCCGATTTTCCGTCTTAACCCTGGAGGGCCGAGGAGCAAAGCCGAGAGGGCAGAGCCGGCTCCTAACTCGAGGCCTGGCGGCTCGGCTCAGAGAACCACTGGGCAGGTGAGACCAGCCACTCGGCAACACGGGGCTCGAGGAGGTTGAGCTCGCGGCTGTTTGCAAAGGATACCCAGGGGCCGGCTCTGAGCCCGATGCCAGAAACCTCGGAGGAGAGGAGGCCCGAAGGCGAGAGCACCTCAACGAAGTCGTAGTCGAGGCCGAGGGGCGTATGCATAGGCAGGTCATGGTGGGCGTCGGAGTGCTGAGCCCCGTCCGGGGTAGGATCCTCAGTGCCGCCTGGAGGGTCACCACGGGTGTGCGAAAGCCGAGCGTAGTAACCTTTCTTAGCCCCGGCGTGCCAGAGCGCTTCGGAAACCTCACCTCTGACCTATGTTCGGCAGAAGGCGCCTTTCTTAAGCGAGGCATCGGCGCAGTAGACAGTGTCATCGTAAGGCACCGCAATGCTGCTCGCAAGGATGGGGGCGCAGGCTGCTAGCGTGCTGAGCTCGTCGGCGGCTCGCCTAGGCAGGGCCCTGACGGGGCTATCAGAAGATGCCGGCTCCTTGGCAGCCAGCCTGAAAGCCGAGTCGAGGAAGCACGCAAAGGGCCTCCGAAACTGGATGTAAGAGACCCAGCCACCAAGCAGGGAGGACATTAGATCCTCGGAGGTAGCGGGGTAGGTGGCAGCCTTCAACGTCACATAAGATAGTGCAAGGCGACGCTGGAGAGGGGCCCAACAAGAACGGCCCCCTGGTCGACAAGGGGTACCTCGGAGTTTACAGTACCTCGGCACCTGCAACCGTGAAAAGGAGGGATCCCCAGTTATCCTTATGGTCGGAACCAGCTAACCCCGCATGCTGGTAGGCAAGCTTTGCTTGAGCAACGCATCGGGAGGCCGGGCTTTCCGCAGCCTCTCGGCAAGGAGGTCGGGGCTCAGGCCGCGAAGCTCACTGGAGGGCACTGCACTTACCGCGAAGTAGTCGTCTATGACCAGAGCCTCGGCACAATTGCCGAGGGGAGGCGGGTGCTGGGCAAAGAAGGCCGAAGTCGCAGAGGAGAGCCTCGTGAGCAGCCGTGGCGTACTCGACCCGACCGTGGTCGCCCTAGAGGATGGCACGAAAGGAGCCACAGACAAGGGGATCCTCTCCTTGGAAGGCGGCGGCCCAAAAGACTATTCGTATCGGACCCCAAACAGGCAATGCTCGGGTGGCCCGGAGGGAAGAGAGGCGCAGCGGGGGCCCGACGCAGTTGGTGCTGGCCCTTTCACTGGTCGTCCAGATCTGGTGGTAGTAGTCGGACCGGTCCGTGCTGGCCACACATAGGGCGAGGCCCGGCTGCATTGAAAGAGAGGTGAGCAGGCAGCCTTGCGGGAGCTGCGTCGAAACCCCAATCACCCTACCCTCTAGGGCGTTTGGCCCCCTACGGTCTCCTATCATCCTATCGGCGGTAGGCGATTTGTAGGAACCGAAAACCCGACATAAAGCCTTAGGGTCACCGGGGGCCGGGGTGATCTTAAGGAGGCTTAGGGAATCCCAAAGGTCGAAGATTCGCACGATCTCCTCCTTGTTCTCTTTGGCCGTGTCTGGGTAAGGCAGGGCATTCTCGGGAATGCCATGGAGCACGCGGGGCTCACGGTAGGGTAGCAGCAGCTCCGGCCCAAGGTAGGGACTTATATCCCAGTGCCCTCTCCCGGTGATAAGGAGGCGGTCTACGACAGCGTCGCGGTATGGCTGCAAGGAGGGGGGGCCATCATCATTTCGAGGAACCCGACCCCTGACCTCGGTGCTGCCAGGGTATGCTGCCTGGGAAATGCCACACTCATCCAGGTAAGCGCGGAGGTCATCCAGGCGAGCAAGGTGGTGGGGACCACGCAGGCCCGAAGCAAGTGGGAAGTCACAGGCCTGGCGGGAACTCGCCTCTATAAACAACCTCAACCGGGCAAAGACTTTGCGCTGAGCGGGCGAGGGATGTCTCCGGAGTGCCTTCAAAGGGATGGCTTTAGTGTCAGCGTGGACATGGTTCAAGGCCATCACGGCGATGTGCAGGCATCTGTTGAGGAGGGTGCCAAGGTGGAGGGCACGCCTCACAGAGCCGCTGCTCGACTCCCCACCAGCTTTGCTGAAAGCGCCAGGGCAAGGCGCCGGCAAAGGGAAAAGGGCGGTAGGAGGAGGCGGCTCCCCCTCGTGGAAAGCAATGCAAAAGGTCGCACGCAACAGAGTGGCCAAAAGCAGCCGTTTCTCTTCGAAAACATCGGCGCGGGAGGAAGATGCGCAGGGACTTTCGGAAGGCATGCAGGTGGGGGCCGTGGGCTTTAGGAGCCCTGGCCTCCAAGCGGCCCAGAGCTGGGCCCGAAGCTGCTTCCGGGACAGGTTTGCTTGCAGCTTCCGCATCTGGGTCGGCTTTCGGAGGCGCTGGGTTCGAGGGGGGCTTTGGCTTTGTCAGCTCCGCCCTCTTGGTAGACAGATTGTCGGCCTCCTTCACATAAGCCAGCGTGGTCGCCAGGAGACGCTGGTCCGCTAAGGGAGCGAAAGGCCGCAAAGTCGTGGTAGGAGTAGCGGCCCTCTCCTGAAACAGCCCGTTCGGAGGGTCTGGCAGGTGAGTCAGCAGCCAGGCCAGGTCGGGCGAGTGGTCTAAGGTGGCCTGCTCCAGAAACACCATAAGGCCACAAGAAGTGCTGTGGTGTCTGCGGCACCCCTGGGCTCGTCCTTCGAATGGTACTGGGTCATGCGGTGCGGCCGGAGAGCCAGAGGCGCCTTCCTTCTCGCGGCTGCAGCTAGGGGTGCGATCGAAGAAGGCACCGTCCCTTTGGGCGAATCCTTAGCCTGCCTGTTGTGCCCCGGGTCGACAAGGTGGACCCAACGCTGGAATCCGCAAGAGGGTCCGAAAAGTTTGCTGCGAGCTGCCCAACCAGACTCGTGAAGGCCTTTGCCTGAAGTAGCATAGCCTGCTCGAACCTTGCTGAAGCTCGTCAGGAAGGGCTTCCTCGATCTGCCCCTCGGGGGCGGCGAGCTGCTTGTGGGGAAGCGCCCGCACTGCAGGAGGTGGGCCCAGTATGTCCGACAGGCGCTTGGGATGCACAGGAGGCGGGGGAAGAGCCTGGGAGAGGGGAGCTGCGAGGATCGGCCTCCCGATAAGCAAAGGAGGGGGGGCAACCTGTGGAACCTGAGGGTCCGCTGCACCTGGCCTCGGCAAAGCCTTTGCCTGCGACTCTGCTAGGTTTTGCACCTGCTCCACAAGAGAAACAACCGCTCCTCGGCCGTCACGTAGCCGTTTGCCCCTCGGTCCCCTGGGCGTGTCCGCAGCCAAGCGATCGCTGCAGCAACCACCTCCAGAGCGAGAGGGTACAAGGTAGGATCTGAGGGTCGAAGGCTGTGAAGTCCAGGGTCACCCCGGCAAGGGGGGACAGGCATGCACACACGGCGGCGTCGAAATCGATAACCCTCACGGCCACCTGCCTGGGGGGGTAGACGGCTGCCCGTAAGTGAAATCGCCTTGCAAGTCAGAGCCAAGGAGGGTCCGACCAAGCCCGTGTGTCCTGCCTCCTCCGCTGCCAGCAAAGCAGGTTCCAGGACGGAGGCCGGAGGGACCGCTAGTAAGCAGCCGCCCGGTCGCTTGAGCACACAGTAGCACACACAAGGCGAGGAGAGGCATTCCTCTAAAGCGGGGTCGCTTGAGGGGTCGAGCACCAGAATGTCCACGGCACCGGCTTCGGCAGGAGCGATGGCGTCAAGCTCCATTGGGTCAAGGACCCGGCAAGTAAGTACGGATGCCTGCGGCGTCCAGGTAGACGCGGCACTCGAGCTCAGAAGGGAAGGCCTGGGAGAGAGTGGTCCTCTGTCTCAGGTGGTCGACGGCAATGAAATAGTCGCGCTTGCTGCTGTAGATCTCGGGGGGAGACCCGTTGGCGGACCGGGCAACAGCGTAAAACCGATTAGGGATACTAAGGCGAGGGGTAGGAGCAGGGAACCGGGCCCTACCTTCTAGAACCTCCCTAACCCAAAGCCCAGCAACCCAAGCACGCTTGACGCGCTCACCTCCGGAGGCTCCGGACGCACGGAGGGCCTTTGAGGCCAGCAGCCAGGCAGCAGGAACCTCAGCAAATCCAGCTTCAACCTCGAAAGGAGAAGGAGGAACCGAGGCGTGAGGGGGAGCGCTGGAAGAAGCGGCGAGGTGAGAGGAGGAGGTAGGCGCCTCCTTGCACACAGGTTCGGGACTTAGGGGTCCGGACTTATATAGGGTAGGGCGTCGAGCCAACTCCAGGCTCGGAAGGCGAGGGTTCGGGACTTAGGGTAGGGGAAGTTGCAGGGGCACGGCTCTGAGTGACGGAGATGGTAAGCCCCTGAAGTTGCAGAGAAATCTGAGTGATGTCAGTCTCCCCCTCGCTGCCCATACAAAGCAAGCCGGCTGCTCGAGGAGGGAGTGGCAGGCCTCTGCGGAGGCTGAGGAGCAGGAGGACTGGGGAAAGAGGGCCTGAAAATCCAAAAGACCAAGATGGCACCGGAGATGGCACCGAGAAGAAAGGTGAGAAGGATAAGTGGCACGTCCGGTTGCACGCAGTACACAGGACACCTGTAACCCCAAAGGTTCGACCTGGCTCCCTCAAGCAGAAACCAAAGCCACTCAACTCCCGGGGGACCCATTGAGCAGCTGAAAACTTCACCGAAAGATTCAGCCCTCGCTTCTAGAGTACAGAATAAGTTTTGGGGCCCATTATACTATAAGTAGAAAGAAGGAACCTCAAAACAGTATATGACGGAAAAGTGTTCACAAACAGATGCGTATACTTTGACTTTCACTTTCCTCCTCGCAAAGTCGTCACTTTGGAAGACAGGCGCAGTTGCCCGGCTCGGCTGCGCTCTGCACATCCTCCACCCATCCACTCGAAACCGGAAGATTGTCCCGGTTACGCATACTAAAAAGCGGGACAAGCCAGTAACATTAACATAAATTCATGCATACATACATACACACATATATATATATATATATACAGATAGGTATACTCCTATTCGTTCAGGCTTTGGCATAGGGAATTGGGAAGGGATCCTGGGGATACGGGCCCGGGTCATCCAAACCCGACTTTTTCCGATTTCCGAGGACCCAGCGCGACCTCCCTCCGCCAGAGGCAGCGAGGCCAGGAGAAACAGCCGTGCCACCTTTGTCTACTTGGAGGGGCAGGGTACTGAGTAAGTAGGTTTTTTGTAGAGTCATAAGTACCCTAAATGGGGTTACCCCAGTTATAACCTACTTACTAAGTACCCTGCCCCTCCAAGTAGGGCTTTATCGCGCTGTGCTCTGTTCTTCTGGCAGGTTGTTGGAATCAGCTCACCAGGAATACTGTTGGGGCATCTTCAGGCTGGTGGGTACACGGTTCCGGGTCCCGTCGCTAACACGAGTGGCACGAAAAAGTCGACTCATTTAGCCCGGCTATTTCCAGTCCGGTGCCTCTGCGGTTTTGGCAGTCCTCTCTTTCTTCTCCTCATTCCTACCGGCAGCGTGTTCAGCAACACTGAACTGTGAACGAACAAGGAGCGAAGGTAATGCTATACTCGCCACACGAGTTTACAAGTGGCAGGCTTATTCCTCTCTTATCCCTCGTCCTCCACACACATGCCTCACCACTCTCACCAGAGCTGCGGTGACCCTGATCCTACCTCTCCGGTGATCCTACTCTCCTCTTGTAGCCTGCGCTCTCTCTGCACTGCGACATCCCCACATCAAGCAACCCGACCATCATTGTGAGCCCACCACGACCGGCGTCGCCAATGTTTGTTAAAAGAACAGCATTGAAGCGGAGAATCGTCGTCGGAACTGCATACGAGAAGGCTCCACGACGCTATGGTCGATCGTCGGATCCGGACAGCAACGTTGCCCAAGCTTGGTTCTGATGTACCCATGCTCAACGTTCTGTTGGCAAACCTGCTGATGCATGAAGAAGGTCATTTTACAATAGGTATATAAAAGTGCATAAAAAAATGTATAATACAATATATAATATCTCTGAGGATGGCCTTAATGCCATGGGCACCTTTGCCTCTTGGTTCAAGTGTACACGATTTTCGGACGAACATCCTCACGAAGCCCTTTCCATGCCCCCAAACCTGGAACCTTAGAATGTCTTTAACCTAGCAAAACGTATCATCGAGAGGCTCTTCTTGCAAGAAGAGCTATTGCAGACCCTTTCTCAAGGACATCCCAGTGAAGGTTCAGACGAAGGGACGGCCACTTCGTATGCCAGTCAGTATATTATTATTATTATTATTATTATTACTATTACTATGATTACTATTATTACTATTATTACTATTATTACTATTATTACTGTTCTTACTATTCTTACTATTATTACTATTATTACTATTATTACTATTATTACTATTGTACAATTATTACTACTATTACTACTATTACTACTATTACTATTATTACTATTATTACTATTATTACTATTATCACTCCAGACAGGAACTCCAAACAACTGATCCCAAGTTGCCTCGCTCACCAGCGACCTACTTAGAGGATCCTGGGACTTAGTAACTAGGCTTATAAATAAGGTAACTATACTTATAATTACTTATAACCCCAATTACGGCATTTATAACCCTACTTACTAAGTCCAAGTACACCCAAGAATCAGCCGGCAAACTCAGCCCGCAGCACGCATGGAAACGAATTGCAAGGGGTTTGGCTGACTGTGACTGCAATGGAGTGAGAAATGGCTGCACGGAAGCGCAGAAGCTTCGGCAGTGTTCGGATTGAGAGGATTTCGGGGCCTCGCTTGAAACGACATTGCCTGTCCCCTCCTTTCTTCATGTGGCGGGAGATGATGAGGGCGGTTCAGAGCTTCCATTGCACGCTTTTTTCGGACTTCTGACGCTTAGAGGCTCGTGAGGCTCAAAGTTGAATGATCGACCAGGAAATGCTGGAGAGTAGTGATAGTGGCTCCAAGCAGAACCTGATTCACTATTCAACGCCCTGGGTCTCTCAAGCTCGCTTGGGAGGGAAGTGAATGCAGTAGTTGCCGACACAAGCCATAGTTCGATGCCATTGCCAATTTACTTTGCTGGGTTCCTCTGGGGTCTTCCCGACTCAAGGGGATCCTGGAAAAGCCTGCGATTCGGGGACAGCAGGCTGAGCTTTACTTGGAGAGACATTGGAGCACAGAATGCAGAATAGAATAACAGGGACCTCACGGATCTATTGATACACCGTACTCGAACTGCCAACAGGAAGGCGATGCAAGCTTCTTCTGCAGAATGTGTTCAGACACTGGTATCCTGACGGTGCGGCTGTGGGGTCTCACGCAGGAGATTTGGCTGAGATCGAAGGCATCTCGTAAACACAATAGACAAAGCTGTTCACGACGACTCTCGAGAATCTCGTCTGTTTTTATAAACGGATCAATCCGAAAACATCTCCGAAATAGATGACCTTGCAGAAATGCGGCACCAGCAGACACAGCCATTTTTTCCTGCTCCAACATCCTGCACAGGTCGACGCCCGGTTCGGGACTATCGGAGACTTCCTCCGAGCCCGGAGATTCACATCGAGATTCCTCTCTGGACCCTAAACCCTGTCGAGACACTAATAATAGTAATAGTAATAATAATAGTAATAATAATAGTAATTATAATAATAACAATAGTAATAATAATAACCCTCTACTATACCTTGGTCGAGCCCATCATCTTCGCACATCTGGGCATCGAGATCTCGCCACCTTCCAATAGCTCGGCCTCTTGAAGCGCGGTCCTGCCTCTGCCTGGGCGGGATTTAGGAGAACCACTAAGAAGCTTGAGCTTTAGGGTTTAGGTGAAGGTTCAGAGTTTAGAAGAGTGGAGGGTTTAGACTTTATGGATTATTGGGGCAAGGCTAAATCTGGCACCTGCATCGAATCGGCACGCAGTCTTCACTTCCCTCGACAGTACAATGGTGACAGTCAGACGTGGGGCCCGTTAGACACGCCTTAGGATGTAGGTTTAGGGTTAAGGGTTTAGGATTCTGCGAGCATGGGCAGCACATGACCTAGCTGAAGTTTCCGGCTCCGAGATGTGACAGAAGGTGCTTCTTTGTCGCGATGTGTAGTTGCCTCACTGATCACTAGCTAGCTCCCCAACCCTGGGTACTCATTGATGCACTCGGTGACGTGGCATTGCGAGCTTTCATCTCCTGGGAATCTCTTGCGTATGCCACCTCGAACTTGGCAGTAGAAAATAGACTATTATTATTACTATTACTATTATTATTGCTATTACTATTATTATTACTATTATTATTACTATTATTATTATTATTGTTACTATTATTAATACGTGTAGCTGCTTGAAGCAGGAGCCCCTTGGCTGAGGACCCGACTGTCCCTCAGATCCTGCAGCTGGGAGCAGACGATTCTGCAAAGCTCTGAGATGCTAAAGCGCGATGAGGAACCCAAACTTGCACTCACAACATAATTAGAATAGGGTTTTGGGGAGCCATTATACGATAAGTCTAATAAGGAGCCCCGAAAAATGGTATTGGTAATTATTCGAGCCCCTATGACCTTCTCTGTCCCGAACGAAATCCGCAGTTTCTGGTACCATCACGACAACACAAGGCGGAACGGTTGATGACATAAATCCTGCATTCCCTACAATAAGGAATATACCATAATTCCCATAGTTTAGGGCCCTTAAGGTCATGCAGGATTTATACTCATCAACCGTATTGACATCAAGAACGGCTTCTTCGAAGTGCCAGCCTTGGCAGAAGTCTTTTTGAACTTCCTCCACACCTCATAGTACTTGCTGTACTCGTAGTCACTGCAGTAGTGCATGATCGTTTTGCCTGCGCAGCAGAAGGTGTGACAACTGAAAGGATCTGTGGGCTTTTGGTCTATCTACCATCAAGCACACTGTGTTCGGATCTCCATAGAGTATAATATGGTACAAAAATTATTGTAGAGCATAGTAGAATCTGAGCATCCTTGAACCTCAGCCTAAGATGCCTTAAAGTTCTGCGAGTGACCGCCCGGATGCCTCCAGCGGCAGGGTTGGACTGCACATCCTGAGTGCTTTGGGCTCCAACGAAGATGCTACAGCGTAGTTTGTGTTTCTGTGTGCTTGTGGCCGTGTGTATGCGAGTGCTTGTGAATATAAGACACTCATGAAATCTCAGCTAATCTAATATAGGATCGCAAAATAAAGTAACAAATAGTGTATAACAAACAAAATGCATGATAAGATACTACAACAGAATAGAATGGAATAGAATAGGGCAGAATAGAACAGAATGGAATAGACTAGAATGGAATGGAATGCAGTGGACTGGAATGAGAAGAACAAATTGAAGGAATTATCCTATACTGTCATGCAGTGCCAGATGAAAATATAACATAGTACAATACAGTACAGTCGAATATAGCGATGTATCACATTATGGCACGTCATACCATCATATAGTCGTACTGAACGGCATAGAGTAGAACAGAATAGCATCGAATATAGTGGCAGGTAGTATAACCATTTCCAATGAAGCATAACAGCAGATGAAAGTATTGTACTATATGATGTACTACGATATTGTTCAGTATAACATATCATTCAATACAGTACACTATGACACAATATTTTACAGCATACAGTACGAATAGGGAGGAGGACGCTGTGGAAACCTAGTTTTTCAGGCTGCGTGCTGAACAACCAAGACAACGAAAGACGGAGCACCATAATTACGCTGTGGGAAGCTATCGTTTTGAAGGTTCGTATTTGCAAAGAAAAGATTTTTCAGCGAAAAGAAGGACCCATGATACCACCATACCACTTGTATACCTTATATAGCCCTATAGAATACCCTGTAGATCAGGAATTGTATATGCACAATCACACATTTCTCCAATCGAACTGTAGTTTATTGAGTAAAGGATTTCTATGAAAGAAATCACGAACCTGGAAGAATAGCCTATAGAATACCTGAAAGGCTACACCCTCTATATACTGAAAGAATTTCAACACATCCTACAGAATATCCATTATATACCTTGCATATATCTTCATGAACACCCTGTAGCTTACAGAATTCCTCATAGGATTCCCTCTACAATACCACCTAAATTGAATCATATATACCATTCAGAACCCCTTTACATACCCTATAGAATGCCCTCTACAATGCCCTATACAATACCTTATCATATACCTAATAGAAATACCTTATAGAATACTTTGCATAGTACACACAATGTACCCGATATGTATGTGTATATACATATATATATATATATATACACACCTTACAAAGACATCTGGAATAGCCTGCATAATACCTCATAAAATATCATCTACATGCAAGATACCCCCTGTATATCTTTCATAAACCCTGTAGAATACCGTATCGAAAACCTATGAGGATTTATATAAGGACAACCAGGAGGAGCATAAGACCTCGGAGTAGAGGTTTTCTGTAGGAAGTCAGGAACTCAGGCGAATACCTTATAGAATGCTTTACAGAATACACCCCTATATGCCTTAATGAATTTCATAAAGAATATCCTGCAGAATACGCTGTAGAATCCTCCCTAGATACCTCATACACATATATATATATATATATATATAGATATATACGCACACTTGATTGAATATGCTACCCGCTATCGCCTAAGAATACCTATCATACCTGTATATATATATACATATCATAGCCTAAAGAATACCTAAAGAATACAATCCTAAGAAAACCAGTATAGAGTACCCGATAGAACGCTCACAGAACACTCTATAGAATGCAAAACGCATACCCCATATCTATATATATATATATATATATAATGCCATGATATGATATTATTACCCTATCCGATACCCTTTCGAGTACCCTATGGGATACCTATAGAACGCCGTAAGGATAGAGCAGTCAAATAGTGAAAAGCAAAAGGAGTCCAAGAGCTGAGAATTTTTCTAGTTGAACTGGAGCTTATTATTGGAGCCTATAATTGAGTAAGGGCTTTCTATGAAGGAAACCAGGAACCTGGAGGAATAGCATCATAATCATAAAGTACCATATAGAACACACCCTTTCTTTACAGACCCTAGAGAATTTCATATAGAATACACTGCAAAATACCTCATAAAAGACCCCACCATATACCTCAGACATACCTTATTGAATACCCTATGGCGCCTGTAGAGTACCTTATAAAATACGTTCTAGAATACCACCTACATGGAATACCGTGTAGAATACCTTGTACAATGCACCCTATATACCCCCGATGTACCTTACAGAATACCATCTGCAATACCCTACAGAATGCAGCTGGAGTCGGAGGTTCAATAGCCGATATTTAACCTCAATAGCCCCCCCCCCGGAATCCAAGATCCAAGATGTCCCCAGAAAGTTTTTCAGCCAATCTTGGATTCCGGGGGGGGAGGGCTATTGAGGTTACATATCGGCTATTGAACCTCAATAAACCCTAACCATGGAATCCAAGATTCCCTGAAAAACTTTCTAGTGGCATCTTGGATCTTGGATTCCGGGGAGAGGGGGCTATTGAGGTTCAATCGCCGATATTTAACCTCAATAGGCCCCCTCTCCCGGAATCCAAGATCCAAGATGCCCCCAGAAAGTTTCCCGGACAATCTTGGATTCCAGTTCCATTGCCCGCTTCAACCTGGCTTGATTCAGGGCATTGTTGGAGCCGTGAATCAAGCCAGCTTTTGGAAGAGAACGTGTAGGAACCTATCCAAAAAAAAGTTCCCACAGCGTCCTCTTCTCTACGAATAATGTAGAATACAAGGTAATACGGTCCAACCTGATCCAAGCCAGTATACTGTAACATACATATGTCTTGCGTAAAAAGTATGTTGCTATGTGATACAATACAATAAACAATAAAGTAAACTGCAATGTAATGCAATACAGTATAATACAACATAACACAATATACCATAATATACTATACTAAACTACCATATGTTTAATGCACTGTACTGAAATCTATCATATTATTATGGAACAGAATATGATATTCTGCACTATAACTTACTGTACTATAATATAATATGATCGATCGTACACGAATACAAGATACTGCACCCACGATGCACACCCTGAGCAGCTAGGCTCCCGGCCGTCCTCGCTTTGTATGCGAGCAAGGGCTCAAACAGCCCCGTGTTACGGAGAATGGCTGCGTAAATCAGCGGTGTTTCGCCTCAACGGCAGGAAAGGTTCCGAATGCTCATACTAGTTCCTGTGATGAAAAGTTGTCGTACAGTCGGGCTCTATTCGTTTTTGCTATTCATTGTTACGTACTGGACATAGCGGGAGATGCTTGGAATGCCAACGGAAAATCCTGACAGAAACCCTGAACTGCAACTGTGCTTGTGCTTGTAGCTCTAGGTTCAGGCCGCTTCGCGAATGCAGCACCCCTCCTCCCAACGGCTGAGGCCCCAGCCTTCGGAGTTTGCTCTGTCCTGAGCTTCCCCAGCTAGAAGCGACTGGAATTGATCTTTGAAACAAAGGGCAGACAAAGGGCCAGGGTGCTCATAATGTCGTCAAGCATGAAAGCCCGAAACATCGTGGACTTAAAGCAATAACTGTTGAGGGCCCTTCACCAAAACTCATCGCAGTGTGAATCTGGCAAATCTCACATGGAACGACCCCAGTGCTGAGAGTCTTGCTCCACAACTCACTTCCCTTCTCGAGAGGTCTTTAAGGCTCCCGGCCACGGTTGCGCCGGCGGCCAACAGTGCATAGAGCATGTTCTTGTTGTTCTTCTTTACCGCATACAGCAGCGGTGTCATTCCAACTCGGCCACCAGTCAGCATGGAGGCATGTCCAAGCTTTATGCGTTTGTGTGAGTTAGTTACGCACATATGTATGTATGTATGTATGTATGTATGTACGTGTGTAAATAAACATACACATATACATATCTGTGTACCTAAGTAGTTATCTAATTAAGTCCTGTGCATGTATGTACGTTTGTATGCATGTATGCAGGTATGCATGAACGCATGCATGAACGTATGTATGCATGTATGTGTATATGTAAATATAGATGTACCAACACATACACACACAAGTGATATGTATGTGTACATACATATACATGAACATACATATACCTATGTATATATGTGTGTATATGTCTGTATGGCTCTCTGTATGCATGCATTCATGTATGTATGCGTATGTATGTACGTATGTATAAATGTTGGTGTGTGTGTGCGTACCTATATGTATGTGTATGTGTAGGCATGGGCGCATGTGCAAGGATATGCGCAAGTGTTTGCGTACATGTTGGTGCATTTGTATGTGCATGTGGGTATATGTATATATATATGTATATGTATACACATGCAAACACAGATATGTATACATCTCTGTATATACATATACATACATACCTGTAACTGTATATGTATATCAATTTGCTTTGGTGTATGTTCCTGGCATTTACATCTACATCTGCATCATCAAGATTACATGTTTCTTTATGATTAACGAATTATTGATTTATAGAATTGCTTATCCATGCATTTACGTCCTTTACAACTCTAAACCTGCTCTGCACTGGTCTTGGACTTGGCATTCACCTCTGCCCTGCTGAGACCCCGGCGTCCGCTATAGGCACCAGCACCTGCATCCTGACATAACCGTGTGGCTCAGACAAAACGGTATCTAGGGTTTAGTTAAGGGCTTAATGAAAAAAAGAAGGTGCAGAGGCGTTGTAAGCTGCCGAGACGAGCTGTAGTGTCGCCAAGTGAACATTCCAGAAGACGGGTCATGGTGGAACAGCAACAGAATGATGGATTCACGGCCTTACGGTAACCCTACCCCGGCGCCCAATCCAGAAGAAAAGCCTCGAGCTTCACAGATGCGTGAAATATCCGAAGTTCCTCAAGCAAAAACCGTTTTGTGCTTGTCGTCAGTTCGGCTGGGGCCCCCGACCAGATTTGGCTTCTTTGGCAATGACGTTTTCCCAGCGTCACGACGATGGTCTTTTACCGGTACATCAGCCAGCTGATCCCAGTGATGGATCAGCGCACACAGCCTTGTCATGTCACCTTTCTCTGCAGCGTCCAGGAGCTCATCGTCGGCTGGCGAGCAGAGAAGCGAAGCGACGCTGACTTTTCAGGGCTCTCTCTACAGCTCCTACAGACGTCGGCACCGAAACCCAAACCGCTTTGGCAAGCGGTATCCCTGGCCATGTCGGACCGCTGGGTGCCTGGAAGACTCGATCCGTAGGCGCGCCTTTCTAGCGCCTTCCAGGGCTTGAGACAGGCCACGAAGAGCAGTATATTATGTAATATATGGTATATTCTATTACAATATACAGTATGTTAAACATTATCTACTATATACTGATTTCAAACATTGTGTAATGTATATTACATGTCATATTCAATAAGTGATGCGAAACATATGATATGTATATGTATATATGTATATACATATGAGTAGTGTATATAGTATACTCTATACAAAATTCTTGCGAAGCTATGTATTATACATAACATATTATGTGCTTTCATACTTTATTTTACATATTACAATACATATTCCGATATTAGCATATATATATATCACATTTAAACCTATGTTTATATGGTATGTTGGAGTTTCCACATGATACATAAAACAAGCCTCATATGAAAAATGTATCATGTATTCAATATGACATATGTATAACATGTACATATTATATATTCTTTGATAATAGAAAGCTAGTATTATACATATAGCAATATACTATATACTATACATTAGATTTATTTTGTATTATGTATTGCACATATAAACATACAGTATGCGTGTATGTATATTATATTGTAGCATTCATATGTGTGTATATATATAGATAGATAGATAGATAGATAGATAGACTAGAAACTGTATGTGAAAAAGAACGTATTAGAGACAATAGAATACATACTTGATCACATACGACATAAAATGTGTAAGGAATATACTATATGTACTATAACGATATGCGATAAATTACATAATATTATGTATCTACTATACAATATGTTACATACTGGATATATTATACATGTGCTGTGTTATATGGTATATGGTACAAGCTACATATTGTATAGTCGAGGTTGCTTCATACATATTCTATTGGAACTTATACACAGTACACTTTATGTTGCTGTATAAAATATATACTGTGATTTCAACACATACATCATAAGTAATATGGTATATATAATATGTATATATTACAAATGTATATGTTCTACTTTATACACATGTTGTCTAATCTGTATATGTGTACAGTTATTGTATACGATTCTTTTAATATATTATGTTATATGATCGAACAATCTGGCACGGCTTAGGTTTGGAGTTGGGGGGCTCCAGAAATTAGGACCAGCGTGCATCCGCAGAACATTCAGTAAAAGCCCTAAACCCCTAAACCCTAAACCCTCCCAAGGCACTGCATTGAGGTTCGTCTTGGTTGCGTCTGTGATCGGGTACGCCTGTCGAAGGACACTGGCACAGCAGAGCAAAAGCCACAGAGAAAGCCACACCTTGCAGTACTGGGATGGCTTGGGTGGGCCGCCCGAGCCCCACTTGTCGACACCTCTGGACGTGTGCTCCTCCTGCGCGACCGCTGACTTTTGAATAGCTTTGGGATCTCTCCCTCTAATATCGGCACAAGCTGTCATCATTCATTATGACATCTGAACAGCGATGCAGAGAGCAGAACTACAAGCCACGGATGTCATGCTGCTGCATCCGAGGCTAGACGCGTCCATGAGACTGGGTTTCTCTCTACTCTTTTTCGTCTACTGCTTCCCGCAAAACTCCTTCCAGCACTGTGTCCCACAAGTCCTGATACACTGAGTCCTCCATCCATGAAAAGTGTACTGTTGCTTGCTGGGAACCTTCCCGAACCCTCGAAGAATCGAATTCCTTAAGGGCAAGGAATGCAAGGCCGAATTGACAAGAAGAGTTCGGCATGGTTCGGAACATGTGGGGACCAGTGGCCACACCTAGAAATGCTGCGAACGAGTCGATTTGTGTAGAAGACGCCTGTGCCAGGGAATCACATCTCTTACCACACGACAGACGCGCATCCAAATCGCCCCAGAAACCCAAGCCCAAGCATTCCTTGCGGCTTTGGATGTCGTCCTCCACAGCCTCAAGCAGGATCGGAGGCGAGTACTTGGTAGCTTCCGGCTTCAGGGGCTGTAACCAGCCATCCAAGAGCGTGCACCCGTCCCGAAAGCCGGCAGCTTGCATGTTTGGTCCGTGCATATCTGTACAGACCCCTTCGCCGAATCGAGTTTATCGCGTTTCTGGGTTTCGGGATTCCGGATGTTGAGATCAGCACATGAGGTTGCATGTCAGGACTCGACTCCTTTCACTTCTTATCTTTAACAGCAGCCAGGCTTTGGCGCCCACAGAGCGTGTTGCAACATGATGGCTTTAAGCCAACTTATCAGGCATTTCTGGCTTAGAGACTGTCGGGCTCATGGTTTCATAAGTTCCTGGGCTCCAAAGCTCCCGGGCTCCGAAGCTCCCCTGCTTGGAGGGGCAGGGGGCTGAGTAAGTGGGTTATAAGTAGAGTGAATAGGTACCCTAAATGGAGTTATATACCCAAAATTAGAGCCCACTTATAACCTACTTACTAAGCCCCTTGCCCCTCCAAGTAGCCCTTGCAAGAAGGAAAGGGATCTGAATGGTTCATCCGAATGAGCCTCTTCCTTCGCCCACATTCTAAGACCCTGCAGGGACCGGAGTGGACATTGCCAATATGTTATGATGTGATATTTTATATCAAGCCATACTATGTTATATCATGACATATCATACCATAACATGACATAACATGACATAACATAGTATAGCATGGTCTAAACTAACATAACATAGCATAACCGAACATTTCATATAGATACACATAGAATGGAAAGCCGCTGGCTCACGATAATCGGACTAGCGCTATTGAACGCTCAGCGGTGCTTCGTGCCGAATTTCGCGCCAGCTCTGCGATTCTAACCCCCGGACCCCAACATGTTTGAACGGAAACCTCGTGTTGCACCTTCGGGAAGAGGCCAAGTCAGCACTGAACATTGCATTGCATCTGTAGTTGCGCAAGTTCGACTTCCACACAAGCATCCCTAAACCCTAACCCCCGGACACTGAAACGTTCAGGATCCAGAAACCGCCCTGCACCCTAAAACCCTGAACCCCTAAACCCTAAACCCTGAAGCTCTTTGAAGGGCGAGAGCTTGAGCAGCCTCACCGCAGAAAAGACAGTTGAAAGTTTGGCTTTAGGATTTGGAAAGTTTTAGGCCCTAAAACTTTCCAAATCCTAAAGCCAAACTATCTAAAATTTAGGGTTTAGGGATTAGGGTTTTAGGGTTTAGGATCGTGCATTTTCCGAGCTTGGTCTCTGCCAGCTGCCGCAAAGCAAAACTACTCAGGCTTGAGCTCTCTTGGAGGCAAGTCACCCGGCTTTACACTCGTCACGGCCCGCGCTTTGAGGAATCCAAGCACAGGACGCTGCGTCCCCTCTCGCTTGCATGGGAAGGCAAGAAGGGACAGGAAACTTTGCCAAGAACTCTGGTGAGAACCGGTGCCAGCTTGGAACCTTCTTTGCCGCATCTCGTCTTCTCACTTTCAGGGATACGTGGGGCTTGAGTTCGACCTTGCCTGAGACCTTGTTCCAGTTCCAAGTTGTTCGAGCCGGCATTCAAAGCAGAGGCAGAGGAAAGCAGGAAAAGGGCTGCAGCCAGAAGCTCGGGATGCGACCGAGCAGCAGAAACAAACCCGCTCCGCAATCACTGGAAGGCAACCGGGTGTAGATACTGGAACCCCGTATTGCTGAACTCAGAGTCACAGAGAAAGGAACGGGCCCGTGTTTGTACCACAAGGCGCTTGTCCCGACTGTTTCCTTCTGAATTGATTTAAATATTGTGTTGAGGGACCATTAAAGCAAGCAACAACTCGCAGAAAGCTAAAGGTTGAATAGGCATACTCTGGGCATGTGCTAATCTATGTACGCTGGCTAACATAATATGTGTGTCCTTCTTCGCGAAAAATCTTGATGACTTCCGTATTGGAGTTTCGTGCCGTGTCCGGGAACATCAACGGAACGGACCTTAAACAAGTGCCTCATGCGGAAATTCTGGCGCCAAGCACGCAGTGTGAAGGCAGCCAATTCAGGCCTTGATAGCCTTGATGTGCATTTGAAACAACTTCAATGCAAAACAAAACTGAAAAAGCCCATTAGTAACAAGAACTTCCGCGGTGCAGGTGATCTCGGATGATCAGGTGTCTGGAACCCCCGCGGGCCCTAGACGGACCTCGATCGTCGGTGCGACCCAGACACCCTGGTGTGGAACTGGATGAAAGTCCGCTCCACCGGGCATTCCGAAGATCCCTGGGATATTGCGCGAACCCACTCCGTGCTCAGCTCACTGATGCTCTCGAGGTCATCCTCATCGTCGCTGGTGTCGTCGTTGTCGGCGATGGTCGAGGCTGTCTGAGAGATGTCCTCGGAGATCTCGTCGGCGGGCGCCTTCTGGGCCTTGGGGGACGGAGCTGGGGCATCGGGGGCATCGGTACCAAGCAGTTGCATCATGGCTGGCGCAGGCATGGGCTGCACCTGCATGGCTTGCATCGGCTGGGCAGGATGCACGGGCTGCAACATGGGGCTCATGGGCTGCATAGGTCCCATGGGCTGCACTGGTTGCATAGGCTGCAGCATAGGCTGCAGCGTGGGCTGCGTTTGTCCCATTAGCTGCTGCAGGGGGTGCATGGGCTGTGGCTGAGGAACCGGCATCGGGGCAATTAAAGGCATCATGGGCACTGCAATGAAGGTCTGACAAGCCGTGACCGGGTTTGCTGGGCACATGTTGGTAGAATTTCCGGCGCCAATCACCGTGCACGGTGACTGAGCGGTCGCACCACTGCTGGACGGAGAAGTCGACGCGTGCGCCAGGTGGGCGGAGGCCTCGTCTTCCATCCCGCTGTAGCGTTCCATGGCCTTCTCAAACTCCTCGGCCGTCAACCTCAGCTGAGCTTCGCACGAACCCTTGCGGAAGCGCTTTCATGCACATTCACAAACGATCCTGTGGCTGTCGTATCGCTCTGAAGCTCCTTGGAACGGCGATGCCAGCTTCAATTCCTCCATGCATCATGGGCCCTGAGCCCCAAATACGACCCGAACCCCTACAGTCAGCCAGGTCGCAAAGACCCGAAACCTTCAACTTCAACTCTTTGAAGCTTATAAGGTGCCTTTCTCAATCTCAGATCTTAAGTGCATCCTCGTAGCATGGACCCGAGCTTCTTGTGCAGCCGCTGCCGCACGCGCCTTTTGAGAGCTCGGTTGGGCGCCTCGGCGCTCGCGGCGGCCGCGCAAGTCAAGATCTCCTGCGAGCCCAACCGCTCCCCCAAGGGTCTTCGAGGTGACTCCGTTAAATAACAAGAGTAAGAATAACAAATAAGAACAACAATAATAACAATAATAATGATACTAACAATAGTGATGATTAGAATACTAATAATAGCAAGAGTAATAACATTTGAGAATAATGATAATCGTGGCAAGAATCATGCTCATACTGCAAATGATGATGCGAATAATAATGATAATACTAATAATAATAATAATAATAATAATAATAATAATAAATAAGAAGAATAATAACAATAATAATAATAATGACAATGCAGATAATGCTGATATGGGGGTTCTATGGGTTTGCTCTGAAAGGGAATTGCGCTGCAGGGTGCAAGGTGCGGGTCAGCCCGTGGCTACATGGCTGTTTAGCGTGAAACCGATGTCTCCTCAACAACGGATGCTGGCAACACACTGCCGCGCTTTAGCATGACCATGGGTTCCATCTGTGACAAGTTGCTTCCACCTTGGCACATGGCTGCAGTCCGAGTGGGATGTCGCGGGCAAAGGCAGAAGGCAGATTCACTTCAACCGTTGAACCACCTGAGTTGCTGCGGTGTGCGAGACGCCGGCTTCATTCAGTGGTGACTCAACGCTTGGAAATCTGGCTGGATCTATGTGCCAATCTCCACCCGGACGGGAGTCATGCGGCATGGCAAGAAGACCATGATGTTGGCCAGACGGTTCGAGATCTCGTGAAACATGAAAAGTTCAATGAACACAGTAAAACCTTTTGTGTAAAACGCCCCCCCCCCCTAATAGCTCCACGACCTTATTCACAAGGAAGAACGACATCAGCGATGAAGCCGCAGCACCGGCAATACCATGCTTCGCAGTCTGTCAACCCGAAGAACCCAAAAGCCCGCTCCCCAGCTGCTGCGAGCCTCCAAGGCGTCCTGCCTGGCGGCCTGGAGGAAGCGAATCAGCGACAGCAGGTTTAGGATTTAAGGCTTAGGGTTTAGGGTTTAAGGTTTAGGGCTTAGGGTTTAGGGTTTAAGGTTTAGGGTTTAGGATTTAAGGTTTAGGGTTTAGGGTTTAGGATTTAAGGTTTAGGGTTTAGGGTTTAGGATTTAAGGTTTAGGGTTTAGGGTTTAGGATTTAAGGTTTAGGGTTTAGGGTTAGGGACAGCAGGTCTTCGGATTTGGGGCCGGTGCTTCGGTGTTGAAGCCTTCATCCTCCTGCGTTTCACGGCTTAGTGGAAGTGAATCCACAGCTCACAGGCCCAGACCACGGCTCAGCACAAAAAGGAAGATAGAGATAGACATATGTATATATATATATATATAAATCAATAAATAAATATACAAATCTATACGTATACTTAAATACGGAAAGCTCGCAGGTCATCGAAAAGCGACTTCTTCCGAGGACCCAGCTCGCTCTCCAACAGCCAGAGGCAGCATGCCCAGAAAGAAAAGGTGTGTGACCTTTGCTGTTCGAGCTTGCAGCAGGGGGCTGAGGCTTTTGGGCTTCGAGGTGTGCTCTGTTGTTCTGGCGGGTGGTTGAAATCAGCTCCCCAAGAGAATTTACAGGGGCTTCCTTGGGCATTGGGTTTAGGCTCCTGTCCCCGACTTCCGGTTTTTATGGACCGGTTTTGCCTCTGCTGTCTTTCTCTTCCTCTTGGGTTTAGGGATGAGGGATCTTTTCGCCGGTTCAGGGTTCTGGCACTTCCGACACGGGGACCACTTTGCCTAAGACACAGCCGTCCTGAAACCTCGATCGGCACTTTGTTGTTTAAATCAAGCCTACGCCCATTAATCACGAGTTGGGTTTAGGGATAGCTATAACTGCTTCTTGAACTATTATATACTATATCAGCTCAATACCACGGGCACCTCTGCCTTCGATCAAAGCGTCAAGCCGGGATCTGCAACGGGAACTTCGGACAAGCGTCCTCATGGAGGCCCTCGAAATGCCCGAATCCTACAACGTCTCTAGCCGCATCAGGGCTTAGGGTTTACGGTTTAAGGTTTAGCGGAGCTTTAACAATCGAAATGCTCTGATCGCAGAGAAGAGCTGCGCCAGTTTCTTCACGCGGACATCCGGACGATGTTTGAGACAAACGGAGGAACTGTTGAAATCTGGTCGGTGAGTCTAGGGTATGAAAAATCAAACGACGCAGGCCTAGTTTCGTTCGCAGCGGCATTCAAACTCAGCCCGCGGCACGCATGACGGATATTGAAACTTGACTGGAATTGACTAGCCGGCAAACTTTTGTCCAAGACGGATTGACAGAAATGGCTGCATGGAAGCACAGACGCTGTGGCTGTGGACTAGGTGTTGAAACAACATGGCATGTTCTCTCAACTTTAACCAGCTTCGCAGCAAGAGCAACTCTGTAGAAAGCGGATGCACTTTTGCTCTCCAGCAGCCAGGTGACCAGCTCCCAGAGCAGAGGATGCGCCAGGCCGGAGTCTGCTCTGGCTCTCAAGTCCACTTAAAGGATCATGGGACTTAGTAACTAGGGCTATAATTAGGGTAACTATACTTATAACCCCAATTAAGGTACTTATACTTATGACCTTACTTACTAAGTCCCATGATCCTGCAAGCAGGGCTTCAGACTGCAGCAGCCCTTTGGTCGCTCTGAGGGCACAGTGCTGCACTGACTACTACTACTCCTACTACTTCCTCTGCTGCTGCTGCTGCTACTACTACTACTACTACTACTACTACTACTACTACTACTGCAATTACTTCACAAATAATTTTTACATCCTCACTTTCCGAGTTCTAAACCTTGGGGGGGGTTACTTGGGTTCAGGGCTTGGGGGTTTTAGGGTTTGGGGTTTCGGGTTGGGAGTCCGAGGGTGAACGGATCCGCTCAATACAAAGCCGATGGGGACCCCCGGGCTTTGGGAGCCAAACCTCTGAGGCGCGGACAAGAAGAGTTGCGAGTATAGAATAGCAGAATAGAACAGAGAAGAATAGAATAGTTTATTCTATCCTTCTTGCCCCCCGCCCTTTCCTCTATTGCCCTACGGCACTCATTCTGGTGCCTCCTTATGGCACTCCGACACGCGGTTTCGTTATTGCGTAATTGGGAACCCGACCTCCGTGTAACATGGCCAAACCTGACTGACGCCGGAGCCGGCGCCTTGCACAAACGGTGCCACCTGTTGTCCGAGTATCTGGCATCAGCACCAGCTTCCCCGTCCTCCTTCGGCATAATGGCTGTAACGTCAGAAACGTTTTGCAAAGCCGACCGAGCTGAAGCTCGTTGAATGAACTCGATGCCTCTGTCGTGAAGGGACACCACCACAAATCTAGCTGGGTCGGTCCTCTCTGCTGGCGGAATGGGCCGTGGTGGCCTTACTGCAGCCTCACTCTGTCTATGCTGATACTACCTAAAGCTACCACGACTGTGCTAGGACGATTCCAGCAGATACCGTCTCGGCCTAGCAGTGTGCTGCGCTGAAACCCGCTGGCATGCTACTTGACTCTCGAGCCGGATCATTCATGCTGCGCTGAAAATGTCATGAGTTTTAGGGTTTAGGGCCCAATCCAAACACGTCTCACTCATCGAAAACCAAGCATGCGAACGTGGCTGTAGCACAAAGGTTCGAGAGAAGGAGAATGACTTTACACAGATCTGCCAGTCCATGTGATTGGAAGCTGCAGTTTGCGTTAAGGTGACCATGCCAGCATCTGGCCACGCTGCCCAACACCACGAGACGGCCAACCAGATATCTCGGGCAGCTGACGGCATGTTGCAGTCCATGACACAGAACACATGCGCACGTGTAAAACGAATTGCCGTCATGCAAGATTTAATCACGAAGCCTCAGGTACAGTCCGCGTGGGGACCGTCCCCAGCAACGTGTGCTGATGATCTCTCAGAAACTCCCTAGCAAAGCTCCGGAGAGCGGGATCAAACTTGGCGGGAGCCGCAAAATTGGGAGCATTAGGTCGTTGCCAATCGAGGTAAATGTGCTCATCTCACTCTGCAATCATCCCTCGCAGCTCTTCTGCGGCTACAGGGCCCAGCAAGGCTCTGCGTCGCACCATCACGCCCATCACAGCCACCAAGAAGATCAAGCACGCGCGTGCAAAGCCTGCCAGGAACACCATGTGGGCATCTGGAGTTGTGGCCAGGTCAGTCTCCGCATCGTACTCCTCTATTGGCTGCGCTGCTCCTGCAATGTCGTTCACATGCTGCTCCAGTGCTAACATGTACGATTTGTTGCCGGTGTCTTGGGCTCAGGTGGCGCTCCAGTATAAAGAGAGGTAAGATTTGTTGCCGGTGTGAATTGCGCCAAGTTGCGTCCCAGTCCTACGATGTAGTAATGATGGAACGCTGGACCTCTTTTGAGACTTCCCTTTCCAACCTCGTCAAGACCCCCTCGAGTGACCCGTTTTGAGATCTGCTGGCGACCTCGTATCGCGACCCCTTTCAAAGTTTTGTCTGCAGTCTTCAAGACATGACGCAGGACACGCGGCTCAAGCAGTGAGGACCATTCCACACTTTGCGATTCCAGACACCCGATGCCTGTAGCAGTGACACACATGCAAGGATGACGTGGAGGTCCAAGAACGATGACCATTCCACATTTCGAAACGCCATAGGGATGACAGTGCATACTTGCGAGACTACGCGACATCCCTCGGACAGAGCTTACGTGCGAGACGACGCAAAAGTCTAACACAAACAATCTGAACCTTTGTCCGTTGGGTTGGAGTCGATAGAAGTACAAGTACTACCTGCAGGGAAGTATTTGTATGGTGTTGTGGCCATAGTGCGGTGTAGTGTCGTTGTCTGGTAGCGGTGAGGGACGGCACGGAGACAGTAATGCTGAACCGCGCATGTCCATGACAGTCTGCAGATTCCAAATTTCGAGCCGCTGTCACTTCCAAAGATGTATACAAAGCAGCACGGCAGGCAAGATGAAAAGTTCTCAGGCCCGACACCCTGGGCCTGCACATCATCAACGCATGCCTTTTGTTCGTTCGTCTACTGGTCTTTGGAGCTCCGTCTCATATCAGTGTTTCGCTTCCGAGCTTTGGGAAGTACTGCTCAAGCATCTGCAGCGGTATTGAAGAGAGGCATCCCTATGTACAGCAAGCACATGAACTCCAGACAGGCCAATCACTTCGAAAGAAGGACATATGAATCCCGTGGAACTGTTGCTGCAAGTTTAACGAGAACAAAAACGCCACATGAGGAATGCTATGCCCAGCGTTCCGCAAGCAGCAGTGTTCGCAAAGGCTCCACGAACCAACCAATCTCCAGAGCACATATATACATATACATCTATATATATATATATGTATATATATATATATATATATATATTATTTTTATGTACTTATTTATTTGTATGTACTTATGTATACACATATATATACACATCTATATGTGTATGCATATGTTTTATGGACATACGCTCTTCGGACACCGCCAAACCCTTCAGCTCTCCGGTTCGGCAATGAAGCGTGCAGAAGACCGCTTCGGTTCGTCTCGCTGATCTGACGCCGCATATACGCGTCCATATGGGAGTTTCCGAATGAGGGGTACCTTATTTTAGTGGTCTTTACAAGGATCCTACTATCTAAGGCACTATGTCAGGGTCTCCCATTTTCGGGAACTCTCATGTTCGTCCATACTGCAATTGCGACTTTGAGTTGCGCGAATCTGGTGCCTGCGTGTCACATCATTCATACACACTTCACAGATCACGCGTTTTTCGCAACACCCAAGTCTTGCGAAATCATGCGATAAACGCTAGCTGATGCTAGCTGGAACGCATATCAACAAGTAGCAGTGCGGAGGTCACATGAACATTTCAGGAAACATACCATGTGTGTCTTTTTTCGCATGTCACTGCTGGGAAGACTTAAGACTACACTGACGTGGTGGCCATTAGCTTCTTGATGCAAGGTCGGGACAACCATCTGGATGATTTTGTTGGCGTGATCAGGCCTCGTGGACGGCGGCTTTCGCACACGGTCCTAACAAGAAGCTAAGCAAAATCACGAAAACCAAAGAAGCTGTACAATAAGATGGTGCAATGAAACAAGGCTGCGACGTGCAAACTAAGCCGGCAGGAGTGGTTCAGCGCGAAAAGTGAAAACAATCCTCTTTCACGCAAACTCTGAGCCTGCAAACGTCGGTCGTAACATGGTTCTTCCATGCACTCAAAGCTACATGTCCAAAAGCTACCAAACTGTTCAATCAAAATACGGGTACGAGTACGAAAACAAAAGTTGATCACCCCGCCCAAATGCGTGTTGCACCTGAGCACTCGTATTTGCATCAACAACAGTACGAGTACGTTTTGCAGTAGCGGACCTAAGTAGCTAGAGGTTTTATGGCGTGTTGCCATACTGCTAGGCTCGGCTGTACACTACGCGATCACTCCATCCACAAGCTAGGGTCAGCTTGGGACGAAATGTTTGCCAACAGTCCTTGGCGAGATGCCCAACCTTATGGCAGTGATGGCATTTTCGCGTCTCCTTCTGTGCTTTGCCTCCCTTTCCTTTGCCCTTCGGCTGGTTGGCATTTTGCGACTTGCCCCCACCGCCACCGGGATTTGGTTTCCCGCCATGAGGCTTGCCCCTTCCACCTTTGTCCTTTCCACCTTTTCCACGACCATCGCCCTTGCCGCCTTTAGGTTTCCCCTTAGCGACCCTATCTACATCCATGGGTACGGGATCACTGGCACTAGGGTCACTCGAGGAGCCTATGCCTAAGCTTTGCTGCACTTTGGACGCAGACCACTGTTTTCCCCTTCTTGTTTTGAGGTTTGAGCCGAACGCTAAACCTTCTACTAAAATCGTTCCTTCAAACTTGGATGAATATATGCACGTCAGAGTCATAAGTATAAAGGAAATATAAATTCAATCCTTCAAGCACTCGGACGAAGACTCTTTTTCTCGGATGGTGGTGAATGTCCCCTCGTCGGAGGGAAGGCAGGCACATCTGGTGTGCGTAGCCTCGCCCCCGGTGAGACCAAGGTTGGTCCGACCCCTTCCCATACAGGGCGGGTTGGGTGGGTACCAAAAACTAAAACTGAGCCTAAACATATCGGAAAGACGGATTCTCACTGAGAACTGAAAGGATCTGAGACAAACTGAGAGACAGTGAGCTGAAAACGGAAACTAGGAAAAACTCAAAACTGAAAATATCTTTTCCCGCCCGGCCGCCCAAAATTCGAAGGTTTCAACAGTTCA